GTTGGTACATAATGGAAAACAAAAGGCATTTTGTTAAAATCTTTATGGATATTGGAGCTTAAATGTTCATTGGCACAAATATTTAGATTTATCATGTTCAGAGAATAAAGCTTCATCCATGCAATGAGTTATAACTACGTCTGCTGTTAAGAAACATTTTCAAGGTGGCCGACACAGTTTCAAGCATTGGTTGAACAATTTCAATGTGATGAACTATGGTGGTCAGTATGACATCGACCATGTTGTGAGAATAGGGATTCCCTTGTAGTTGAGTGCGAGTGGATGCCCATATGTTTTTATAGTCCATCGCTAGATCGCTCCGCCAGAAAGCGGAGAGATCCAGTTCCACGACTTCGATGCTCCACTGGAAAAACTCAATTTCATCCTCAGCCAATCATGAAGCTGCCCGTTTAGCCTACCCGCACATTCTTCCAGTTTGGGTCAAAAAGAGTTCACTCGCAGCGAAAGAAGAACTTGAGAGACGGCTCACTGCAGGATGACACCTGATTGGATCTATGAAGGCCCTATATAGGGGCTATTTATAAGTTTGTGCAGCTAAACACGTCCGAGAGATATGTGACCTCCTTACGAAGTTCTTGCACCACTGAATGGACAAGTTCGGAGCCCGACTGCGCGGGTGATGTGAAGTACACGGTAAATAAACCTCGGGACCAGATGTTGTTGCTTGCTTGGAAGTAATTGCGTGACAAGTGGAGATGTCAGGGTTTTCGCCTTTGACAAGTGGTAATGTACAACAAAAACTTGTGAAGGTGGCCAAATCGCGGAGTAGTTATATGATCAGCATTGTCGATCATTTTGAACACAAAAAATTATCTTCAAGATTTGAAGTATTAAGAAGACGAATATGAAAACACGAGAAATGAGGCTAGCATAATCAAATACGATAGTTATCATTTATTTTCAAAAAGTCAAATCAAAAGAAGTATGAAAGTTATAAGTTTGGACTAAAATTTTTTGTAAGAAGATTTCAAACAAGTTGTTGTCAAGAACATTTTGACATGTTATACTCAGACAACACGTCAAATGTTTTTGAAGCTCATGAATATTAAGATGATTTTTTTTATGTAATGATCGATGTTAAAATATAAGAGAGTAAATTTTATCATCGTTTAAGCAATTGTTTCATATTGGTCGCAATAACATGTGTTGTTTCATCATCAAAGACATATCATCACTCAAAATATTTTGAGTGATGATTTTAAATGTTTTGTTGATTGATGACTTATCGTCAAAGACAATAATATCATCTATTTCATCTTTTAATTCAATATCAAACTGAATGTAATATGAGTTTAGTCATATTCACATAATGTTAATATTCGTCAAATATTAAATCAAGCTAAATCTAAACCTAGGAATAATTATTTATTTATTTAAAATTAAAAAATGAAATAATCTCTAAGAAATATTACAAAAATGGCCATTTTAAAAAACAAGATCATGTGAAAATCAAAGAACTGCATAAACTCTATTTGATATGTATCAAAAGTTTGAAGCTAAGGCATATGACTTATTTGACAATGGTTTACAAAGTTAGAATTATGTCATATGCAATGCACTATAATATATGAAATCCATATGATTTTGTTTATTATTACGTTTTTAATAATCAGATTTGTTTTTAATCCAATGAATATCAAACGGATTTATTTTCATGAATACAAGAATTTAAATGTTTGATGAAGTTGATCTACATTACTTTACAAGTTGATTCAAATACATTGATTTTCATCAATTTCATATTCGATATGGAATAAAGTTTTGTATTTTAGAAATATTAGATGTAAAAATTTTCTAATGAAGATCAAAAATCTCAAATGTTCAAGATGAAAATATAATTTTGATTGACACATTCATAGAAATATATAAATTCTATAGTACGATAAATTTGTAACAAAATTAAATATCCTAATTTTTTATTTGAAATGTCTCATGAATGACTTCTAGATTGATTACATTTTTAAATACTTGACTATCGTTCACAATGATTGATTCTTATCCAGCATAAATAAAATCAACTTAGAGTTTTGTGGTCATTATGTTAAGATAAAAATCATATCAAACATATTTATAAAACTCACTTTTTATAATGCGATTTTAATACATTTTTTAATTTTTATTAGTCATTAGTTATTTCATTGGAAAATTATCAATTTATCTTGTCATTTAAAAAATAAAAATTTCCAAAAAAAATTTAACATTAAAAAATGTAAGTTAAGAATTAGATTTGTCATAAGTGTTTATGCATGTATAATAGAGAAGATCAAATTTGAGTAATAAGATATATTTTATTTTTTAAGTGGTCGATTGCTCGTTATCTCACAAAATTGGAGATCAGATTGTCCATTTTTTAGATACATCATGGGGTAAAGTTCATATGATATTAGATAGAAGTAGGATTTGGATATCCAATGAATAGTTGCTACAAATTTCATGACTGGTTTTGATTATAATAAGTGGAAAAGTTCAAATAGATGCATCAAGATACATACAATACAACTATATATTACTACAACAACAAAAAATTAAGCTTTTATGTTGTTCATGCAACAGCAACAACGACATAACAAGATTACGTATCTTGCAAAAAAGAGTTGCCAGTGGTGATAAACAAACTGAAGACGTCTCTTCAGTTTGTTCAAGAAACGTTTTAAAATAAGTGTGATACCAAGCTAGAGATATGAAACTGAACTGTATATTATATAAAAATGTATAGATGTGTTTTGTCTTGCACACTTTGAAAGATCAGATTTACGTTAAAATTTCAACTTGATCAGTTTGGAGATAATCGAAAGTTGTTTTTCAAAGATTTGAAATTGATTATTTGTTTAAAATACTCAGATAAAATCACTAATATTTCATCCATTGATTGGATTGAGACTTGAAATTAAAACGATCTTCTTATGACGTTTGAGAGATTTTTTCGCAGCTATACAGATTAAAATGAATTATTACTTTTCATTCGTAACATGCAGCCGATGAATAAGATGAGAATAATATAATGAGTGATGATGTTGTGAATAAATTTGCTAAAGCCTTTGCGAAAAGAGTCCTCTGCTCTTTTATATCATAGTTATGATCAGTTTGAAAAAGTAAACAAGGTTTTCATCATAATGAAAATCCTCTTTGAGGTTGGTAAGGATGTGCATTTGTCACAAAGAGCTACAAGTCTGGTGGCACACACGATGATTGATATTAATAAAAATTCTATTCATCTTTCTTTTGAAATATATCATGTTATTATATAATGATGTGTCAACCAAAAGATACAGTATAGAGTAGAACTATGAGGCTCTGGATAAAGAAGGTTGTCAAAATTTTCTCAAGCATTAATTAGAATCTCGTAAGAAGTTATCAATCCATTGAGATTGATTATTATATATTATCTTTAAATGAATTAAAAAAGTTCAAGCAATTCAGACTATAGAATCATGAAAAAATTTAGAGCTATTTAATAATCATAATATTATCAGTCTATATGTATAAACTCCATGTAATGAGTGTGTGTGTGTGTGTGTCATAAGGAATAATTACATGGAATTAAAATGAAAAGACAAAGATTTTTTTAAAAATTTTGAAAACTTAAAATCTCATATAATTTTAAAATTATAATAAAAAAATTGAATATAAAATAATTCGAATTAATAACTATGTATGAAATGAAGAAAATTATTGATAACGAATTTATGAGAATCTACAAAGTTCGTGATCAAAATTGACTACAAGTTTTTGTACTTTCATTTTTAACACAAATTTTTCATTTCACAATTGTTAGCACAAATTTGGCGATTATTATATGGGATATCTACAAAATCATATCACATTGAAAAAAAATACATGTAAAATCAGATTGGAATGATTAATAATTACATCTGATTTATCCATAAGTATTTGTGATAAAATATCACTACAAATCAATGTAAATTATTTTTTATCAATAATGTTTACTAAGCAATCTTCAATGCATCTCTTGACTATGAATTCATGTTTTACTTTATATATATCTAGATTTTTCCACGAAAGTCAATTGGTTTATTAATTTGCATTGTAAAATCTTCATAAGTATGAAAAACTCACATCCATTTTTAACTTCTCAATTATAATATAAATATAGTGATTTAGTTTTCTTCTTGAGTCTTCTAATTTTCTTAGTTTACAACTTCAAAGCTAGTGATCACTGAGACAAAATGTAGATGAATTATCAAGTTCAATATGTAATAAATGTTCAGGTCAACTATAACTCAGTCAAAATGATTGTTTTCATAAAGATATAGATTATACAAAATTCTAAGTGTAGGATTGAAAAATATATCAAAGAACCATCAATCTTGTTAAGAGCTTTAAGGATGTAACAATGTAAGACTATATTTTGAAAAGTATAAATTTTATTCATACTTATCGTTTATCTTTCATGACTTTTCATATCATTGTGTGATAAGAAATCATAAGCTAAAAGTAGGGGAAAAAAATTTCAAATATTCATATTAAATTATTCTAAAAACCAAATATATTTTACTTGATAAATCTTTAAAATAATTCCCGTTTCTGAAAAATATACAGTATTATAAAATAGCATTTTAACTAATAATATTATATATGTCTATGCGATAAAGCGAAAATCATTTTGTATGATTTTGATGTGGCTTTTCCTATCAATTTATATGTTATTTGATTATAGACCAAAACAGATGGGCATCCAAAACTTCAACTTCTAGTGTAGTCGCAACTAATACAAGACGTCTGCATGTTCAAAAATCTACATTCAAATACAAAATACAGCTCACCTTAATGGACAAATATCTATCCATTATTATTGAGCAATATCAGTAAGAATGTCTTCTCTTATCAAAAATATATAATATTATATATTTTGATATCAAGGAGAGTGTTTCATGTTCATATAAACGCTAAACCCAGGTGCATGTCTGTTACGTATACAGACATGTGTCACAAACTTTATATTCAAGAGTTTACGAAGTAGGCCAGATTTTATTAATACATTATCGTCTCATATCCATCATTTGTATGTCAAATCAAGAGTCCATAGGTCAGGCCCATTTAACTTAGGCAAGAAAAACATTCCAGTCAATCCGAATTTTTGGCTCTCAAGGAGCCTCCATGCAGTTCTCGGGACCCAGACAAGATGGGTGAGGGCGAGACTCAAATCGAAACATCTCTCGACTCTCAAAGATCCACATCAAGAGTAACGAGAGAAAAAAATAATAGGCATTGTTAATCGCTTATTTACAAGCTATAGAGCGTCAATCTGGTGGGGAGTTTGTATACTCCGTGTATACCAAAATGAATGGTGGTAGTTGGTTTAAGTTACTACGTCAAAAATCTTATACGATGCTTTTGTATTACATGTACACGTGAAGAATGGTTGAACTTTCTCAAAGTTCCCACCACTTCTTTGCGGCCATTCTTTTCGCAAGTTCCTCAGCCATTGAAGCGAAATTTTCTGCATTGTCTTCCAGCTCCGACGTTCTATTTTCAATGCCCTGCAAGATCATGCGACAATCACAATTTCACTCGTCATTCACTGCTTTCCACATCTCATCACATGTCAATAGACCTATATGTCTTCGTTTCAGGTCCACTTCCAAAGTACAAGATCTACCCACATTTAGTGAGCTACCTCCAAGAAGCATAAACTGACTTCATCCCATACTCTTCAAGGTCAACTCTTTGGGAGGGCTCAGGACCATCGGGTTTCAATCTTCTTGATTAAAGGTTATGTCTGATCTTGCTAGAGAAAGTAAGGGTCAAAGGGAAGAAGGAAAAGGGAGTACCTGCAGCTTTTCACCACGTTCCATCAACTTGTTTCTAGCCATTTCCATTACACTCGACACCTCCTGCAAAAGAACCAAAACCTTGATAGTGAGACACTTCTGTTAAATTTGGTGACTGAATCTTATATCGTCTTATTCACGTGATCCGAAGTATAGCATGTAATAGAATATGCACCTGTAAGATACTCTCTTACCGCTTGTCACCCTAAAAATAAGTACAAAATTAGACAACATGAGCGAAAGAAACCCAAAGTCGCGTGGAACAAGAATCTCTCATTAAGATATGGCAAAAGCATGGACCGGCGGTCTCAGGGGCATCTACCTGAGTTTTTCTCTGGTGACCATATTTCGCCCGAATATCATCTGCAGTTCGTGCCTTAGGCGCCTCCTTCCCTCCTTCAAAGAGCTTCGTTCTATCACCCTCCGCTTCATGACTAGTCTTCTCCTTTCCTGCATGAAAGGGGCGAAATTTTAGTAAAATACTAATTCATGTTATTGCATTGTATATTGAAATTCTCAAATCTCAAATCTCCAGATTTCTTACAGAAATCTGCCACCTGTGTACTGTGTGTAATTGTTAATCTCAATTGTTCTTTACTTAATGTAGCAAAAATAAGTGATAGGAAATTATTAAGTTACTAACTAAGAAAAGTTTGAGTTAAGTACAAATTTACTCGAAGGTTGAAGTAGGGTTTGGCAGCCATCAGCCACCTTACCATCAGGATTGCGAGTTAAGAAATCAGGTTCAAGTTTGAACGATGACATCTGTATGTACAGCTTAAACATAGGTTACAGTACACACCTTGCCAATCATCGTTTCCTCAGGTACACATTCAAGTGAAATGGATTGCTGAAATTGCGGGTGCAGTTAGCACTCTATCACTTGCATTCAGTTGATAAGTCAAAGATGATTGGCAAGGTGTGTACTTTAACCTAGACTAGTCATGACTAGACAGAAAGACAAGCGGAGAGATCTACAACTTGCTTCGTTCACGTACCTTTTAAGCTCCATCTAAATTTGCCAAAGCCTCCGCCACTGGAAGGTTCAGCAGCAGCTGTAGGTCCTGATGGCATGTCGTCGACATCTATATCATCTGAAATCAAAGAAACAGAACGATGAAGACGTCATACTTGAAAAGGTAGAGGGAGTATTTTCGAAAGTCTTCTTCACACCAAAGTTAAAAATCTAACGCAAAGCAACATTGCTATAATTTACCTATGTCCAAGTTGTCAGAAGAAACCTCTGATTTAGGTCGGTTTGTCAACGGTATGGTAAATGGACGTGTAGAAAATAATTTTGGAAGCTCTGAGGCAGAATGCACGTGCTGTACTTCAGGATCAAGCGCGTTCTTCAGCTCTTTTATTACTCCACCAACCACGCCTTTTAGAAGACCTTCCATGCCGGGAATATTTGACTATAGATTCACACGATACATGTTTAGAGTAAGAACAGATTGAGTTGCACAAAGGAGTTCAAACTCACTTGGAGATAAGACTTCTATACGCACAAAGATCTTGAGTTAGCTAATAGAGCTCCTGATCAGATTTGTAGTCGAAGGAACGACTCTGATTGTTTGATGAAATCAGGAGATCAAGTCTCGAAAATCAAAAGAGAATTTACTGTAGGACGTAATGACCAAGCAGTTGTAGCATCCCTCCTCTCAAAACTCACCCTCCTGACACTACCTAAGTCACCTGTGCTCGACATCAAACTAAGTGATAACGCGTTTTGCAAAAATTAGTTTCAGACCTTCTCAGCACCATACAACTGTTGATCTAATACCTGAACGTCTGCAATTGACTCTCTTTTAGATCATCCACAAATTCCGAGTACTGGGCAAGTTAACACGGTGAGCGGCTAAGAAAAAAGATTCACCTTCTTCTTAGGTATATTCCTTGCCGCACTGGCATGCTCATCTGCTAGAGCAACATCCCTGTCATACAGTTGTGGTTGAGGTAGCAGCTGGACACTGCAGAAAGACATAGATAAAGTTTCAATATGAAATACATCCTTCCTGTTTAAATGTATCCAAAAAGTTTGAATATATTAAAGATTAGATCAGTACCTGGCGGAATCCTCTTCCAGACATGAGATCTGTACAACCTCCCTACCATGATCTATCTGTAAATGCAAAGAAGCAACAGCAGCACTTAAAAGAGGTCGTAAAGTGGTTGTATTATACTCAGAAACGTTGTGAATGACAATGTTGTATCTGCCCTTCGATAATCAAAGAAAGAGAACATTCATATCATTTACAAGAGAACCGATTGAAGCTTTTAAAAAAGTTGAAAAGGCCCTGACAAAAGCCATTTCTTGAATCTTCAAAACTGAAGGAAGGATGGAAAATCTTAGGAGAACCGAATCGGGAAGCTTACCAGAACGAGCTGGCCTCTGATATTACTTCCCAGAGTTTTCATAAGAAACTCATTCAGCTCAATTTTCCACTTCACACACTCGCTTAAGGATGTGTCCTTCACACATTCCAAATCTGGTAACGACCTGATCCATTTCATGATCGTGTAAGAATGACTTTGTTTTCGTTTGTTAAGAAAGAGGAGCGCATCATGATCTGTTTTGAAATCCTAAGTTTTCTACAATCCAAGCTCAAATAAGACCAATCAACCACAGATAAGAGACCAAGGCGGAAGGCTCCCGATATATGATTTTTAAATATGGAAAATGATTTGAGTCTTCCTTGCGAAATCGGAGAAAAACATCAAGAATTCTCACCTAAATTCAATGTCTCCATTAGTAAATAACAGTATCAATCCCGAATCGTTTGTCTTCTCCCGGAAAGCTGAAGTCCAGCAACATGTCTTCTCCAGTTTGATTTTTTTTAAGGATACAGGATGACCCTGGCATTTCAGAACAGTAGGCTCTCACAGGCTATTCGACAAGTGGCAAGCCAAGCATCACGATTGAAGCATTCCTCAAATCGAAAGAATTTCATCATGGAAAGAAAAGTCAAACAGAGGCTTTTGCAAATTAGATACACATAGCAATTGATCAACCACAAAGCCCTAACATGCGTGGATAAGAAAGAAAACGAAATTCCATGCAAACAACCAAAGAGGCTGATGACAAATCCTGAAAGCATGTAACAAGAACAGAAGACAAACAACTCAAGACTCAAGCCACCATCAGTAATACTAGAAAGAGGGAAGAACCGAAGGTGACACACACTGGATCACAACTGAACAAACACAGAATTTAAAGGAAAACAGACGCGGTTATCTAAAAGACTCTTGGCGAACGATGCTTGATTGGTACAAAGAAGACCTCAAATCGAAATAGATTTTCTTGTGATGCAAAATCAGGTAGAAGCTCAATCAGCAAAACATACGACAGATACAAGATCGATCTTCCACAGCTAAGTCGTTACTGCTAACTCGCCACCATACAGAAAGTAATCTCGAATAGAGAAATCAAATTGTCTATCCGCAAGCCACCTTTAGGTCATAACGCCACGAAGACCTTTAGGTGATAACAAGAAGGACATTAGGCCAGAAATTAACTTCTCGATGGACAATCGTCGCAATAGAAGATTCTTACAATTAGCAATCGAATAAGTGAGAAAACCGATGAAAATCACAACTGTCAAGACAATCAAGGCCTTCGAGAATATCATGCTCACACTTGTCTCCATATAGGTTAACAAATATGAAAAGAATCCACTCTTTCTACTAGGTAGTAATGCTATGACGAACTGCGGTTGCGTGTTCCGCGTGAGCGTTCCCAGAAAAAAGTATAACCCTGAAATTTCAGAACTTTTACCAACTTATGACGTAAGTATCTCCTCGAAGTAAAGGAATGCAGAGATCTCATGGGTGAATTGGTATCCAGCAGAATATTGGAGTCAATGATCTGGACTTAGGTTCGCTTGACCTAAGTGAACAGCATTGAATTCTTCTCCATGTAAAGCTTTAGGATTCATTTTGTCTATAAGGAAGAAACCGATGACCGTGAGACTAGATATCATTTATGAGAAATAAGTAGAAGTGTAAGAATCAAATAATGCTGAAAGCAACCTAGATGAGAAAAAGTAAAATTCGCCAACGCCAAGTTTTGAATTTACCTACAAGAAACTGCTCTAAGTAACGAACTTCTCATCACATCAAAAGTCCTCACCAGTTGTTGCTGGCACTAATCAAGAAATACAAGGTAAGCGACAGGAGTATTCGAGCCTTTGAGAAACTGTATACGGAAGATCAACACGATGAAGAGAAAGCTACTGAAGAGGAGTCGTACTTGGGATGGATCATTCAGTGGTAAAAGTGACAAGTCATACTATGCGGAAGAAACACATTACATGCGTGAAATATATAACAACTAGTACTTGACAAGCTGGACTACAATAAAGACCACTTGGTGTGATTTAATGAGAAGAGGGACGAATCCGCTAGGTCGAGAACGTGAACTTCGGAGCACAAAAGAACTGAAAACTAACCACAACCTCAAGGCTACGCTATATTGAAGGTTAACTCGCCGGAAATCCAGCTAAAAGTGTATGTTCAGTCAATAAAGTATCTTCATCGATATTTGTAGGGTATCTCGATATCAACTCCTGTCCTAAGTTCGTAGGTTCTTCTGAGAATCGCTGCGCAAAAGGTTTAAACGGGTCCAGAGAAGTGAGAAGAACTAACTATCACGAACTCTCACGTGGAATAATCAGGTTTTAAATAATCACGGGCACTGACATACTCTACAGCTTCATTTGCCAGAATCCGTTGAGAAATCAAAGATTTTGAAGAAAACATGTTACACAAATTAAGAAAACAGTACTGAAAAGGCGAAAGGAATCGAGGATCACACGGACAAAAGGCAAGGTACTTTTAAGAGCGTGGGAATGTGATTTCCGTTGTAGATTGCTATGTATGTAACGGAAATATTCCGTTCTGAGATGTTACGTCTGTGGAATCAACATCTTCTCAAACAGAAAAGATGTCGTGCAAATATAACTATCAACCCTCTTGGCTGGGATATAGATCTACTTTAAAATCGTAGAGTCATGAATATGTAGACGTAGAGGATAAGGAAAAGTACTCCAAGAAGTAAACACATCGTCATGCGAGGAGAAGGTGTGTGGGAATCAAATTTCAATCCGCAACCATCATTCAGTGACGCAAATGTGGGTGTACACCATTTCAACTTCATATTATACCATAACAAAGACAGACAGAAAACGATGGAAACGCACGAACTTAAAACATCTTCAATGCGCAACACTGTTCTAAGAATGAAACCTTCAACATACGAATTAAGAATATTCAGCAAAAATAAGAGCACGTCACAAACCTGTACAATTGCAGATGTGGCGTAAAGACGCAACGAATCTGTACAGCAAAGAAGTAAAAAATGGGCTTCTGAACATGTCCAAGAGGTTACGGAACTCGGTTCTTCACTGCTATTTGACTCGTTCTCAGCAGATTCGCTCTCTTCGGTTCCTCCTTCTACGACTTGTTTTGAAGAGGGACTTGGAAGACAGATTGGAGTACCATCGGCATCTGAGAGAGTGACAACCTTACATCAGATTGCATATTGACAGCTAGGAAAACTTTGAAGTACAGCTTAAACCAATATAACATCAAACTTTCACATATAATCAGAGTTTCTCTCACCTAAAAGATGAAAAGAAACAGCTGTTGAGGAATGCATGGGCTTGAAAGGCCCTTGACCAACGACAATTCCTGTACTACCATCGTAAGCGACCATGTTCGCATCCTTCCCGAGTACATACAAAACTGGCACATGACTTGTTGGATCCTGCTGACTTCTTATCCTAGGTGATGAGGAGGCAGGGGACTGCGGAATCGACGTGGATGCATATTCAGCTGAAAATGCAAGAGACAAAATGCTGGAAGGATGATTCGAGAAGCAGTTCGCATATAAAATAACTGTCTTCGACTGTAAATCCACCATAGAAACCTGCCAATAAGCAATCACAGTCAACAACAAATTTCAGGACATAAATATCGACGAGAAAAGTCGAACATGGAAAATGTGTTGGATGTGCTCGCAGTATTACATTCAACTTCACCATCTACTGAACTACTCTTCAAAAAACAAATTGGAGAAGACTCACTTTGCCTCGTTCGTCACCAACGGCTAGACGAAATAAAGAGCTTGCAAGAGCTACTGATCGAATGGGAGCCTCGTGACGTTTTAAAACAAGAATGCAGCCAAAGATTCCATCCGCCTTTTGCAATTCCTCTGCAGCATCAACATTCCAAAATAACATTCAAACCTTATCAGCACAAATAGTTCATACACGACCACTCATTGTAATCAGCGAATAAGGGACTTTTCAGCACGTTATACTCTGATCTGAAAATAAAACCAGTTTGTTCTCAACATAAGGTATTGGTGGAAACCAACAATAGACTCCAGTCGATGTCTAAAGGTGCACGAAGTGCACTGAGACGGTAACCCTCGTGCCGCTAGACAAGCAAATTTGTTATATGAAGTTCTAAGATGAATTAAATGTAAAGGATCAAGAAGCAAACATAGAAGATGCAACTGTTGGGTCTGACTAGAAAACGTATTCCTAAAAGGGAAAGCACCGTTATGGAAAGCTGTACACTAAAGTCCAGAATGAACTGACAGGGATGCGTTTTGCAAACTCTGAAGAAGACAACAAAACTGATGCGCCAAACATCAGAACCATGAAAGGATCAACGGCAAACGTAAGCAAGTTCAAAAAAAAGACATAGAAAAGGATTGAATGAATGTAGTTAGTGTTCAAGGATTATGGGATAATTCGGTGGTCATAACTGGCATCGTCGTGAGAGTTGACGCCCTCACGCCTTGGATACTGAACTGCGCTCTGTACAATTAGGGGAATGAGAGCACGTAAGACAAACCATACCAAAAGTCTCGACAAAATAACATGGTGCACACCTCTTGCACAAACACAAGGATGAGAACCCAACAAGACATAAGTTGTTACAAGGAACATGCTCCTCGTCCCACTTTCTGGCCTGATTGATATCAAGCCCACATCTTGAAAGGCGGGTTCATGACACAAGAGCTCCCTAAGTGAACCCAGACCTTTGTGTAGATTGAAGGACAGATTGATACGCGGGTAATTCTCAGCGGCGAGCGGAAGCACTTAATTCACAGAAGAATCATCATAAGATGTGAGGACTACTGTCAGAACAAATGTCTCCCGCAGCCCAGAATGGACAAAAAGAGTCAGAATCTCAAGGGACTAGTCTGATACACAAGTTCGCGAAGTAGCATCGAAGAAATATATGATATAGAGCTCGGCGGTAGAGGCAGAGAAAGGCAAGGGGTGTAAAGGGACAAAACCTAGTTGGTTTAAACCTGATAGAAGTTGGTGTAAAAATTTACATCAAGTAGTTTAGTACAAGAACACTCACTGTACCTTCAGTTTCGGCGACATCACGAGTGACAAATCGGCAACGTACTTCACTGTTTTCTTTCTGCAACCTGTAAACAAATACCTGCACAATACACACTTCATTCTGATAGTTTGCAATGAAAATAGCTTCTCAAGCCCGACTTGCAAGGAGTTGTCTGAGTATGCAGTAATCGCTTTAAGTTATGAAAAGAACATTAAGAAACTTATCATTCTTGTCACAAAGGAGCTTGAATATGCACGTAGGTTACGTAATAGACCGAAGTGCTCAGCCTGAAGCTGGAGAACCAGAGGCTATTCTGTGCATCTTATCTGACACTGAGGTACATCTCTACAAACTACTGGAGTCACAGGAATCAAATTTCAAACACAGAAGACCATATATCTAGTGATATCAGAGGACACACCATGCCGTGTTCATCACCAGTGGCAAGCAAACCAGTCGAAGAACAGAACTCCATCGTTGTCACGGGGCAATTTCCACCCAACTTACTCTGCACAAGAAGTGTATAAGAGAGACTGTTCATTACTGCTGCAAACATTCGTAGGTTGTCAAGATTCCTTGGAAAAATTCCGCGTTTTGCTCAATCTTAATTATGAATGAGTGTGACTCGCAGAAAATCCACCTGATTCGTCACCGAGCATAGGAGGTTGTAAGAAGGTGAAGCAGCATCCCAGAAGTTCACAACACCGTCACGATGACCTGTCACGTAGACATTTTTCTCACAAATGTCCTTGGTATGAGAAGAAGAACCCGTCGATACTTGCTTACCTCCACTAATAGGCCATTTGGTACCAGCTGGCAAAGTAGAAGGCACTGAACTCTTTGTTACCGGCGGCATCTGGTATAAGAATCCACACAGGGTATTCATAAGGTAACTTCTGGAAAATATAAGAAACAAACGACACAGCTACGCAATGCAGCCACAAACTTTGCAAGTTCAAGTTTATCACTGCTTGTGTGTCCATGCACAGAGGCAGTTTATTTCCAGACTAGACTAAATCGGTACCTGAAGCAAAGCTCTGGCAGCCACTCCATCATTTGAAACCAAAACCAGCTTGGCACAAGTTACGTTTGTTTCTGTTACATGGAGCTGTAATGGCACTGGTTGTGGAAGTGGAGGAGAGGGCGTGCCTTCAGCTAAAGAAGCGAAGTAACTGGCAATACTGAGTTCATCATACACATGTAGCAGCCCTGGACTCATGAGCAGAACTAGAGCTGCTGCAGGAGTACAGAGACCATCACCAGCCGGCCAAGGTGGTAACAATGCCATGTCTGCGAAAGGGCCCTGTAAAGTGAGATCCCATTGCAAAAGCTTCTCACCGCCTTGTTCCGGATTTGAGCTATCCAAAGAGAGGACCTGCAGGATTATAAAGGGAATCAGCCACCGAGACATTGTCCCCTGAGAACACTTCTTGAAGACAACGCCTCCAGAACTGTTGAGTCCAATATCTGGTCAATATCGTGTAGTCTTGAGAGCCAGGAGGGAATACAGGTACATACTACTCAGTTCGGATGGAGACATACAGAACATACCGACCAAATTACAAAACATGAATTTGCTCGTGTTTCAGTAGACTTAACCATGAGAGCTTCGGGTCGACCCACTTCCCCACCTCCAAAAACGTAGAGCCTGCCACTGGCTCCCCTGGTTGAAGTTCCACTGGCACACCAGGTGAGACCTACAACCGGCATCTTAACCATACCATGTGCAAGATCCAATTTCCTGATGGGCACACCAGAATAGGCAGGGCCTTCGACAAGCTCCATTTCCACTAGTCCCTTTGCTTTGATGATAGTTGGCAACCCCCAAAGCAAAATATCACCGTTTGTATACCCTACAGCTACAACACTACCAACCGGACAAACCCAGCACATACAGCATATTTCCTGCTCTTCCTCGTCGTCGTCTGAAGGCTTAGAAGTAGCAATAGCACGGCCTTTGAGGCTGTTCGCGAAATTCGACAATTCACGGCGTTGATTTTCAGTACCTCCGCGCACAGCAAGCACTTGGTTCTCGTGTAGTCCCCATAGGATGATAAGGCCATTCCCATAAGCAATGAGTACCCTGTTCGTGAAATGTCAAACAAAGACAAATGAGGATGAGGGTTCCTTCAGGTGTTTGCGCTGGCAAATCAGCGTCTAATTACAGTCAGAAGACTGAGAAACTATGCTAGAAGTTACCTGCTAAATAGAACATCAGGCTGCGCGAGAGTCGAAACAACACAAGGAGCATCCTGACTCCCAGCTCTGACAAGTCCACCTGCGTACAACAATTACACCCATCCTAGTTAAATGGATTATAAAAAAGACTTGTCATGGGAGCAAAACCACTGTCAATGTGCCCAGATTTCCTGCATTGAAGTTAACAGAAATTCCACCTCAGACGAATGATACTGATGACTTATACCAAGCGGAATATGTGCAGGAATGCCGTAGGACATTCTTTTCAAAAGCTTCTCCTCTTCGGCATATTGGAGCACAACCACGAGACCAGAATGTTCACCAAGCAACCTGTTGATGGGCACACATACACACGTATGAAGTTAAAAGTTGATCTTCGATCTTCAGGAATCAACAGAACCAAGGAGCACGAGAAAAATCGTGTGAAAACCAAATCTTATCGAGAGTTTCCCGAGTCAGTCGGGTTAGTCCACCTATTATTTTACATACATGAAAGGAGATCCCTGTAGTACGTAGAAACTGGTGATATCTCCATCCCAAGGTTCGAGATAAACAGACTCTTTTCTTTCGTAGTCCCACACCTGCGGAAAGGGACGTTCATAACAGATTTGACTTGTAAACAAAGTCCAAAATGTTCAGGAAACTAAAGAGGGGAACTCATAATCATCCCAAAATTTTCAAATTGGTAAGAAGTGAAACTTGGAGCAAATGAGCGATGAAAGTAAATAAAAAACTAGAAAAATGTAAATCTCAATAGCACAGAAAAACCAAATCATTTAGAAGATGTTCAACTCACTTCAATTTCATTCTGTGTATTTATATGCAGAAGAAAACCTCGATTGTTCATAAACTGCATCCGGGAACACAATGGGAAAAAAAGTTAGATGATTATCTTTTAAGTTTTAAAGATAATTCGATAACTTAAAAAGAATAAATGTGAAGATTTGGAACTGCGTCAACGAAGTTTGACAATATCAGCTAACCAATGCTTGATCACGTCGAGAAGCACAAAGTGACTAACCTCCAAAAACTTACAGGCGACTTGCCTGCGCGATTGTAGCAGTGCTTCAATACCATCAGCACCCTGCAGCTTAACTCGTCCATCACTGTATGAGCTCAGTTTCAAAAGCAATAAAATAAAATAAGTTTCTGCATTCGCTTAGTTCAGTGGTGGCAAACCTCCAGTAGTGTTTGCGTTGTAGCACTAAATTCAAGACAAATGTATCAGCTCTTTCCCGTTCTAACTACACGGACGACTGTGCTAGTCAAAATTCTTGGAAATTACCATCAACATCATCAGCCTTAACCCTCTCACCACCAACTTTGGTTAACACGGTCAACTCGAAGGTACATTCAGCTGTTGTTCCGCATAACATACATTACTCTAAAATGAAAAGCATAAGATAACAGAACTATCTCTTACTGTCTAACAGATTGTATGTCTGTATCTGACCTCAAAACAAAGCACTTATGTACCAAAGTCAAGAGCAAGATATTGTAGCAAGTTTCTTGAGCTATAATGTGCACTTGATTCCTCTCTTCACAATCTTCGAACTTTGAAAACTACTTCTGGATACAGGTCGCTGGACTGCTAGCACCTTCCAGCTAGCTAGAAAAGAAAAGAGAACTTAACGTGTGATGCTTCTAGTTGACAATTGACCACGATTACACACAAATTCCGACCTCCAATGCTGATCGTCTAACAAAGGGCTCAGAAATACCCCGAAATTCATGAGTCAGACTCAGTTATTGATGATAAAAAAAATCTACTACAATCGTGAAGAAAGTGAAACAAACTCACGTAGAGGCAACAGCAAGAAGCCGTTGAACAGGCTCGTAGGCTAGGATTGAGGCCGAGTGGAAGATTCCATGGTGCGCAGCGAGCTGGGGATGTAAGTGTGATGCTTTGAGACCACCTGCTGGTATTGCCGGCTGAAATTGCCATCCATAAGACCACGTGAGACTCACATTGTGAACTGTCGGCTGAGCAAAAACATCCTTTCACCCACCTAACAGCATAAGATCCTTCTAAGAATGCCCAGAGACTTTTCGAACTCCAAGTTCCGAGAGGATCAAAGACGATTCCTCGGATTCGTCGAGTCAACTTTCAAGGCACAGAACGTCAATGCCTGTCACTAAGACATTATGGTTGATTCTAAAGCTTGGATCGCTTATTCCCTCGCTAGATGTTGTCAATTAGCCAATTTTTTCTCCAGTGCTAATTGCTGGCATTTGGATCCAGATGATTGAAACCAAAATATAGAGACAACAGGCTCTGACTACAAAATCGGCGCTGAGTTCAAAATGACTCACATCTGACCACTGCACCGTATATCACACGTGCATTGCCATACAATATTCATCAAAGGACACTACAATACATTCCCAAAAAAAAACCTTCAGAGAGGGATCATGGGGCAAGTGACTGCAAAACTATGGCTGTGATTTGTTACTAATCAGATCCACAACTAAGGCTGAAACTTTCAGGCTCTCGAGATACCTCAGTGGTCCAGCAAAATTTCAAGCAAACTTCCATCCATCCACCAAACCAAAGCAGGTCCAGGCGATCGAAGCAGCAGATCAAGCAACACACGTAATCAATCGAAACAATGACTGGACAGAAAACCCACAGTATCCGCTCCCGCCTTCTGAAGAAACCGCTTGATAAACATGGTTCACCACCATCCACAATCACTCAATTTTCTTCTTTTTTTCTCAATCAATCTACTGTCTTTCTCGGGCTCCGGGACATTCCCATGTGAGTGTATATGATCGATTGACCGAGCGAGTACGTCGGGATCAAAGAAAGGAGCGTTTCTTCCTGAAGTTCACAACATCTCCTACTCTCCAATGTCTCGAGTGTCGTCGTCCATCGACTCTCGACTCTCGTCTCGTCTGACTTTTTCGCGAAATTTTCCATCCATTAAGTGTGAGATTCCATCTTTATAAGCGTCGATCTATATCCGTCCGCCTCGACGGTAATCGCCCCCTTCAGTAGGGCTACATCCAAGATATCCATTGAAATCTATAGAAAACTATGTTAGAGAATTTCTGTGGCCCACACCCGCCTATAAATAGCTGGAAAGAAGAACACTAACAACATTTTTTAATGTGTCGTTCTTTATTTAGAGTACACTCCAGAAATTAATGCGCTGGATATTGAGCAAGTTTCACAAATGATGTACTGTACTCGGAAGATTACAAAAGTTTCCAGCAGATTGAAAAGAGAAACTGCTGTTATTTCAAACTGAACTCTGAATATAACGATTTCTTACAAATTGTGAATTTGCATCCTTACACGATTTTCTGCAGCTAGAATAACCTCTTTATTTACTTTATGCCCATTCATAGTTCCCACACATTCTGACACTGTGGGCTTCTTTCTAATTAAAAAAACTTTGACTTTTCCAGACTTCACAAGAATGAACAAAAATAATGTTACTTTTCCCGAGATATACACAATCACACAAGAGGCATGAGAAAAAAAGGCCTTCTCTCGTTATAAAAAAACGCCGTAATAGTTCGTGACTCATCAACTTTCGTGACCTCTACACTTCCACAAACCCTTTCACTTAAAAAGTATAATGAAATCTCTGAAAATTACCTCAGGCCATACGTTGATGAAAAGATTAAAGAAAGCTAAAATACGAAGATACCGCCAAATCTAAGAACAAACAATGTCACAAACAAACATATTACATTAGCGAACCAAGAACCACCAACCAGCATAAATATTCTACCGTATATCACATGAACTAGTTGCTGTATGTATAAAAGTACTCAAACCTTTTCATAAACTGATTTACAAAATGGTAAGTTGATTGGTCTTCATATTTGTCTAGTTGAATATTCTATTCTTTCAATCTCACAGTCATGTTCTATCTGTATATTAAAAAAATTGTAACCCTCAGATCATTATTAATAGTCTAACTTCCGAAACACACAATTCAATTTGTGAATTGATTCTCTATAAAAAATATTTTCAATATTTTTCTCATTTATCACATTTTACTTATGCTCATTTCTTCAAAAGCTGATATTGTTTTTGAAATTTGTAAACATTAAGACGTCTATTGATTCAATTTTAAAACTGTGGCCGCAATAATTCATTCCCTGAGAGAATCAGATTCACATAATATTACTTTCTATGATAAAATATTTCTTAAACTAATTTATTCATTGAAAATTTATTTATTTATTTATTTCAAATTATGTACTGTCTAACTTTGTTCAACAAAATCCTGAATTGATAATCATTTGAAAAAAATCATCATTGTTTCAATAAAATATAATTTTTATTGTTTATCAATATCATATCGTAATTTGTTAATACACAAATTCCTGAACTAATTAAAATAATTTGTAGAAAAAACTAAAATCATTTAATTTTATTTAGCTAACTATGTAGAAAAATATATTGATCTTATATGTATATAAAAAAAATTCATCAACAAATTTCAATTCTTTTATTTTGAAAAGGATTTAAATAATTATGATTTTTTGTATATATATATCATATATATTTAAACTAAATATTAAAATATTCATATCTAGCATTTAAATTTGGATTATTTATTTGTAAACGTTATGCTGGTAATTTACCGTAAATGATTTTATTATTAACCTACGAAAAAAATTTATCTCAAACAACATATTATATATTAAAGATTGTAACTAAAATGTTCTTATAAAAAATATTAGAAAAACTTCAAAATTTTGGTATAATTGCAAGCATGATCAACGCAAAATTTGAATCAAAATCAGACTGAATTACAAGATACATTTGAATCTAACGGAACTTTAGATTTTCCATCATTGACATTGGACCAAAAATGAGAAAAACAAACATTGTTAAATTTTTAATGTTAATTTCTAAAAACTTAAATTGTTACTTTACATTTTTTAATTACTTAATTAAAAAAATACTTCAAAGCTTCATGATAAAAAGTTTGAAATTTTATAGACAAAAATATACATAATTTGGATTCCATGTAAATACATTATATGAATGTTGTCACTGTGCATTGATGAGATTAGACATAATTATCAAATATGTATCACATATAACAAAAAAAGATATAATAAAAATGTATATTAAATACAATTTTTAATTATTATGCTTCATAGAGCAACATCACTAGTCACTCTGATGTAAATCTTATACTGCATACTATATCCATAAGTTTGAAATTATTGGATTTGCATTTAAGGCATTCAATTTGTACATATTTTTTATTGAAGATTTGGAATAAAAATATAAACTGATTTTCTACATTTAGATTACGTGGTGATTGGCAGTATATATATACACATAATATGTGACAAAATTTGAGAGTGTGAAGTTATTTATTTTATGATTCAATATTAATTCAAGCTTGTTGTGTGTAAGTTTTGCAATATTTGGTTGTGAATTGTACAAGTTACCACTACATTGATATATTATTGGTACAGTTAGCGATTTTATTGAGACACTTAAACTTAAATACTTAAAATAGATCAATTATTGAAAAAAACACCTTATTAAAACTATATACTATTATAAAATGATGAATTGTTATAAAATTAAGTCATATACATTTATACTTGCAAAAAAAAAAGGAGTAAATGTTTCATGTTTTGCATGATGAAGTAAATGTTTACACGTATGGAGTCTTGTGAATTGCCAAGCAATTATGATCTATTATTAAAAGCAATAATCACTTTAGATATTACTTCTAAATAAAATATTTATTGGTACTAATAGTCATACTAGTTAGAAAGTTGTAGTAAAAACGATATAAAGATGTGATTCTGAACAATAATGTGCTAAGTCATACTTATGTTCCATACTTATACCATATATTGCATATATATCTAGTTGAAAGTATCTACAAAGTGGTAAGCAAATATATAATTTAAATGTTTAGCATGAAAGCTAGTATAATAGCTAGATGATATGAGTTGCAAATATAAATTTTCAATATAAGCTTCACATTTGATTATATAGCAGTTTTCTTAGTATTTTTATGGAAAATTTGATATAAAATCTACATCATAATATAATTAATATTTTTTATGCATAGAATAATGTATAAAGTTCAACAATATAATGTTTTAGAAATTTTGATGTTGATATGTTGTTTTCCTCATAAATTTTAATTAAAATTTTGTAATTTCAGAATTAAACAAAACTATGTTTTATGATTTTGTTTCTTTTCTAAATTTTATAAAATGATAAAATATGAAAACAAAGGATATTACATAAGTGGCAAAGATGAAATTAATGTTGAATTGTATTGTAATCTTTATGGCCATTGATAATGTGTAGTGTTGATATTTTTGTTGTCAAAAAGTTATATACATTATTTTTGATATATTTTATTTGCATAAGAAATAAAATTACATTTTTTTACATAATTTTAATATCTTGCTATTTTTTTAATAAAGTATGAGCAATTTATCATGTTACATACAACTATTGTTCAATAATCTGTTGCAATTTTTAAGTCTTCTCTTTGTTATGGTTTCTATATCGTATTTTATTTTGATTGGCTTAAACAAATGTATAATGTTGATTGAATATTAATTTTCTACTTAAAAAAAAAGCAACAAATTTGACACGAAATATAATATTTTCACACGAGAATATGGAGAAATATTTCTTTAAATATATCTAAACACAAAATAATATTACTCAACTTTGTACAATATTTGAGCAATATTTATTAAAAAAAACATAATCATCAATATGTATGTTGCTATAATAACATGTATATTGGAAAAAAACAATTTTAGCATCATTGATTACAATATGAATATGGTAAAAGGTGAATTATTACATCGCCCGATTGCATTGAGATATGAGATAGGAAATATGATATATTTGATGGAGGTACAATGTATTCATAATTATTTGGATTAAAATCGGTTAAACATAATGTACGAAGGTGATTGAAATCTTTCGAATTCATTGTAACCATATGCAAGCCACACCTTATTCAATGGCATGGTTATATGGCAATATAGTTATATAGATATTTCTTCATTTGTTTATAACTATTCAAGTTATATACCAAAATCCTTGAAAAGATTTATTCAAATTTTAGTGTAGTTCCACAATAAATATCTCCTTGATTTAAAAACACATATTTTGATCACTTTGTAGATAAGAATGTTTTCAATCTTCATGCATCAAATAAAACCAGCAACATAATCTAAATGTGCAATTGTAATATGCACAATATAAAGTCTTCAAATTTTGCTTCATGTTAGAATCTCATTGTAAATAATTTATGTTTGGAAAGTATTCGAATGTGAAGTTCCGCAATCAAGTAGGATAATCATAAAGAACGAGAGATCTCATCAATCCGTATAAGAAAAAAGTAAAGTAACATACAAGTGCGAAAACTAAAAGTTTCAATATGAAAAATTATTTATATAATACATACGTGATCTAAGTAATATATAACAAAGAGGAGAGTTTGACATCTCATCATTTATCTTAATGTTTCACAAATCTTAAGCATCACATGTTGCTTCATGAACACACACATTGTTTGAATAATCTACAAAATATGCGAAACATATAAAAATTATATGTTAGACTTCTGCATACTATGAAAAATGTCTGTAAAGTTGTGTATTCATAAATCTATATACGTTCAATGCCAATGTAATCGAAAGGTATTCTAACAAACATATATCTTGAAAAGCTTGGCTGTTACTAGTACATCCGCCATCCATACATCCATTAAAAATCGTCATCAATGAATTTGGTTAAGGTGAAGTACACATGCAACACTTGATACTTGTGGACCAACTACATATTTCTCTTAGTCAAGTCAAGCCATATTCTTGGAGTAGCAAGACACACCAAGTTTGTTTTCATGTGAACTATACATCTTTTCATTCATAATACCAAAATCACAATCTTAATGCCATAATTAATAGCTACATTCTCTTATATTTGGGCATGAATTGATGTGAAAATCTACTGCATGTAAAGTACTTACACATTCACAACTGGAGCAAGAAGATGTAGATGTGTGAAAACAAACCAAGGTGAATTATCCTCATTGTGGAAAAATTAATTTAAGATGTGCATGTCAGTAACCCCTAATATGGATTACGACAAGATCCATGAACGTAACTTTGTCGAGGCAAAAGCACAAATGAGATTTCTTAGAATGAGTAATCACTAAGATTGAATGTAGACAATTATGAAATTCGTGATCTATCTGATGCAATGCCGATCTTAAAAACAATTGGATTAAGAATATGAGGTCATATTTTACATGTAGAGACGTATTCCGGGATTCATGTCACTTGCATACATCCAAGGAAAATTCTTTATGCAATTCCAAATCCAGAAGGTAACAAAAGCAAAGAGAATGCTGAATTAGCCAAAATCTGATGTCTCCTCAATGGAAAGTAAAACTACCATAGAAAATGAAATAGACAAACTCTCATGTCATACCAGTGTAAGGTAAACAATGGAACATGCCTGACGGGCCATGGAGAAAGGTTCGAATTCACTTCATAGTCTCAATTTACTAGCCACTCTAGTTGTTGTGAAGGCAGACATGTCTCACTGACGAATGTTCTAAACCTTGAGCGAGAAAGAACGTAAGGAAATCATAGTTGGAGGTACTGTGGGCGTCCAGTTCGTACGTGTAGTGGATGCGGGGTCCACCCGAGCAGAGGAGTGGGAACTCGAAGGCAGGCAGGAAGGACGGGGAAGGAGGGAATGACAGAAACGAGAGGCAGATTGCGATCACTAACAGCAATGCAGGTTATTCTTCGCGGGAGGGAGTCGAGGTCGAGGGTTGACAGGTTTAGGAGGTAGAACACGAGCAGACAAGGTTTTGTGTTCGTTTCGTCTCGAGAACACGTCACAAAGAAAAGGGTCGGGGTCGGGGTTTGGAAGAGAGTTAGGAGGCGGTAGGAATAAGAACAATCGAAGCAGGCTAGAACAGTGTATTACTTCCTGGTGGTTTTAATTTTATATTATTTCTTCCCGTTTTTGTTCTGTTCTCTGTGTTGTTTTTTGATTGCTCTAAATCGTCACAATTTGAAAAGGTTGGAGTAAGGTTCTTTTCAAGACGTTCGGAGGTGCTGAACGTCCTCCAACATGTCGGGCGGTTTCTTCAGGGTGTGTCATACTTTCCGCTCAAGAAAGAAGATGATGCTGGGGATCTAGTATTCCTGGGAAGGCAGAGATTTGGTGGTTTGATGCATGAGCTGTTTCGTTGATTCTATCACTTGTTTCGGTATTTTTGCGTAACGTTTTGATTTCAAATTCTGTCAACGCGTAGCCCTTTTATGCAGTTTCATACTATAAGATTGTAAGCTTTTGTGCGGGTGTTTGTTGCTGCTATTGACATCCTCATACTTGACTCTTACCTCGCAGGGGACGTCCGCGGACCAGGACACCCGTTTTTCAAACAAAATGTCGAAACTCTTGAAAACACAGAAGTTTGCTCCTGAGCTGGATGTCCTCGTAAGTGCAGAGTTACTGGTCATTGTTTGGAGATGTTTCGCCGTTTTACACCCCACTGCAATCTCGTCGACCTTATTGGAGCTTATTTTGAAAACAAACTGTAAATAACTAAAATGGAGTTGACTTCCAATGCTAATGTAACTGTGAACCCTAATACTTGGACGCTCAATACATCGACACCTGAAAGCTTGTCACTGCTTGAGTATGTGTGGCAGAGTCAGGTTCAATCTTGTGGGCCCTTGCTGATATCGTGGTGCGTGGGCAGATTGAAATGGCCAAAGTGAAAATGGACGTCATACGGCCATGGATTGCAACGAGAGTTACAGAACTTTTGGGTTTTGAGGACGAGGTTCTAATCAATTTCATCTACGGTTTGTTGGATGTCAAGGTAATATTTATTTAAGAGTGTTTTATTTTGCGAAATAAGAATCATTAAGCTTCTGATTGTCTGTTCTGTCATGAGGGTTGCCTCTCAAGCACACTTATTTATCATTCATGTGGCACTGCAGGAAGCTGATGGCAAGCATCTCCAGATCCAGCTCACAGGTTTTATGGAAAAGAATACCGGTCGGTTTATGAAGGAATTGTGGAGTCTCCTAACGAGTGCGCAGAACAACATCAGTGGTATTCCTCAGCAATTTTTAGATGCCAAGGCCGAGGAGGCGAAGAAAAAGAAAGTAATTATACTCGTCCTTTCCACATTCATGTTTTTGTTGAGATAATTTGTTGTATATATCAAAGAACTAAGGTATCTCCACCCTATGCAGCAAGAGGCCCTCGTAAATGATTGATATGAAGTTTTAGGTTTCCTCAGGGACCGTTGCAGACTGATCAGTGTGATCTTACGTGTTGCACGGTGACCCCTCCCCGAAACTTTAATTGGAATGAATTCTTTGTACAAGTGTTTTGCCCTCGGGTATTGCCTTGGCCTCGTTATTCTGAAGCCAATGTACAAGCTCGGTGGGCCACGATGGAGTTGAGCAAAGTGGGATTGTTGCTAAACTATCAGTTCATGTACAGTTCAGCTCAATGCCTACTCTAAATATTGTAGGATGAGAAGGAGCGTATTCTGTCTGAAGTTCAACGTAAGAAAGAAGAGCAGGAGAAAGATGCAGAAGAACGGAAGGAACAGGAACGATTGCGAAAGCTTGTGAGTCTTCTAGTCTCTGTGTCTTCATCATTTTTAGACACGACAAGTTGTATAGATCGTCCATTAACTTGAATTTTTTGGAAAATCAGAGCGCGCCTCAAGAGTCCACGAAACGTACAAGTGTTTCACCTGGCAGGCGTGGTGGTGAAGAAGGTGGTGGTCATGGAGGCAGGAACGGGTACGCTACTTTCTTGCCCAGATACCCTCGCAGTTTGCTGGTAGGTTCTTATGCCACTATGCGTCTACTGAAGTTACATCCTGCATGCCAGAGGTTGAAACTCAACATCCTTGAAAGGATTAAAGTCATCGTGAACCTCATCCTGAAAATTCGCGGTCGGTGAAAGTATACACAGCATGGACCGAGATGTTGCTATCCGCGTTGATTTTATTGTTGCCATTAAATATTCTTACACTGTCCCAGCTCACTTTTTGTGTCTTGATGCTGATGTATTCGAGTGCCAGTGAGTGGCTCTGGTGTTTCCTGTTGTATTTTGGACTCTTCATCTAAGAACATTTGAGAAACGCTCCAGGAGATAGCTACGTTCTTTAATCACATCACTATATTCGTTCATTTTTGTTTCTTGAACTACTCAAAGTATGAAATTAACATACTCCGAAATTAGTTTAGGAGTATTTGATTTTGAACAGGCTTACTCAGGGTATAAGCAGGCTGCTGAAACATTAATTTGGCCGTGGTGAAAGACTTTATTTATGATTATGAACTAGTCTGATTATAGCCAATGTCCCGTACACAGAGGAGTCCTTTACACTGTTTGAAAAAAGTGGAAACACTCTTTCTTCTTAATGTAGTGACCGGTAGTTGTTGCGGGAGTTGCTACTTACATGTCCATGAAGGGTCAATGACTCCGTTTCTACTGATAGAAATTTGAACGAACCATGCAAGTTTTTCAATACATGTGTTTTTTCTTTGTGTTTACAATAGCCAGTGTAACATGTGCATTCAAATGGCTTGAAGTGGGATGTGGAGCTCACAAACTAACCGGGTTTAAGGTTGCTTTGTAAAAGCGTCTGGTCTTATATCTTTCATGTTTTTGCAGGAGGAGTCTGCGGAGGTCGTCGGCATCACCGCGTGGATCTGGATCCTCTTCTTCGAGTCCTTCTCGGTAGGTTGTAGTATTGTTTCTTCTATGTTGTTACTGTTCTGACGCTTCACTTACTCGTTGGTGGGCAGTAGCAATTGTCAAACAGTATGTTGAACATATACTGACGTTAGGAATTCTTGGCCAAAGTAGTTATGGGGTATTTACATCCTTATATCGATATCTTGCAGGGCTTCTCCTCCTCCTGTAAGGAGACGACGCTCAAGAAGCTTATCCAGGTCACCTCGGAGAAGACGGCGATCTGGTTCTCCATTTAGGCGTCGATCGCCCTTGCCGCCACGGTCACCTCCAAGGCGCAGACGCTCCCCGCTCTACTCACGTTCCCCTCCAAGGCGGAGAAAGAGTCCTCCACCAAGATCGCCACCACGACATCGCAGTAGAACACCACCTCGAGTTAGGAGAAGGTCTCCTGTCAATATACTTTCACCTCCCCGTCGTCATCTGGGAGGCCCCAGGTCTCCTCGTGTAAGGAGAAGGTCCCCAAGCGCCTCTGTTTCACCTCCACTACCACGCCGAAGGTGAGTTGGAAAGCTGCCAAACTTTTCGTGTTAATATTTTGTTATTCTGAAGTCATTTGAACATTAAGAAGCCTCTGTAACCCCGTTTATATTTCTGGCTGAACTGGTGGACGTGTTACAGTCCTAGCAGGAGTCCCTATTCCAGAGGGAGGAGTGTCAGCAGAGATCGTGCTGGTCGCCGAAGCAGGAGTCCTTTTCATAGGCGGAAGAGTCCAACCAGACATCGAGGATCTCGTGTGAGCAGGAGTCCTTTCCAAAGACGGAGAAGTCCAAGTCGGGAATTAGGAGGCCCAGCCAACCGGAGTCCTTACAGAAAAAGAAGAAGCTCAAGTCGGGACTTTGGAGGAGGTCGCCGGAATGGCTATGATGCAAGGGATCGTGAACGCCCTACTCGTGATGGGTAGGTGCCACTTTTACTCAGTTTTTGAAAAGCTTCATCTATTTTTATCAAGTGACCCGCCGTGATTGTGACTATTCCTTTAATGCTCGTGTCTGTCAGTTCATTTCCAACTCTAAGAAGTCTTCGTTTGATAGTAGCTTCGTTGTCCATTTGAGCTCACGTTTTTATTAAGAGTGAAAACTCCAGCGTAACAAGTCCTGGTCTTGGAAAGCATCTGGGACTCTACAGACTATCTGCTGATACCTGATTTGATTTCCCCAGCTTTCTGCAGTGTATGGCTCACAGGATTAGAGTTAAGCTGCTTATTATATGTATGTTGTGAGTGCAAATGGCAAGCCCGACATTCACTCCGCATTCACGCCGCACTCTTGTTCTTTGTTGTTTCGACTCGAAGTCTGTTATGTTAGTTCTTTAAACATTTTCTCAATTAGTATTCTAGCACCAAGTTTTTGCCAGGGCCGCTTCTGTTTTACACGGGAATATCGCAATTCATTGTTTTTCTCGTTGTCTGAGTGATAATGTTGGAGGACATCACGGAGCTTCCTCCTTTTGTCTCCTTCAGTTTCTCGCCACCACTTTCTGAAATCAATCACATCAACTAAAAATTTAACCAATTGTTTTTTGATTGATTTAGAAAGACCTCATATAAATTTTTCTTGGAGTAAGATTTGACCTGTTGTTGTTTACTCTTGTGGTCATGCTTGCATAGAGCTGCCAATGACCTGATCTGTTTACTAATATTCAGGGAAAGGCCGGAGCGGAGAAACGACCGTGCTGATAAGCGAGATAACGTCGAGCAGCGACCACAATTCTATCGTGAACAAGAACGTTTGGCTTCAAGGGACGGGCATGATAGCCGGCCATCGGAATCAATTGTCACTGGAAGTATCGATCATGATGAAGAAGCTGTGTTAGAGCAAGCGAAACGAGAGAGAACTGATATCCAAGATGTAGAAGCTACCCGAACTGCCAGTAAGATTGCTTCAGGCGTTCGTGTAGAATCTGATAGTGCTGTAGGTATTGATGAAGTTAAGGAGCCGGGAGACAGGAAAGAGTCGGTGGCAGGACCAGCTGTGGAATCAGAGGATGAGGATCAAGAACCTGCTCCTAGACCTCAGAAAAGTACAAGTGGAAAAGATGCTGTCGATGCGGGAGATGACGAAGAAGGCAGTGAATCTCCTGGAAGTAGTGAAGAGAGGCACGAAGCTAAAAGGCGGCGAAAAGAAGAGAAGCGTCTTCGTAAGGAGGAAAAGCGTAGAAGGCGAGAGGAGAAGCACAGGAGGAAGGGAGAGAAGCGTGCTGCTAAAAGTGTGAAAGTAGGTGTTGATGCGGACGACGACAATGGAGTTTTGGATGGTAGACTGCAGAAAGAAAGTGATGATCATCATGGTTCAAGAGAGGTTTTTGGTCCGAGGGAGGTTCATAGAAGGAAGAATGAAGAAACGGAGGACGAGCAAAAGCGACTTGAAAAGGAGCTGAGAAATAAAGCCCTCGAGTCCTTGAGGGCAAAGAAGGGAATTTCATGCTGACCTTGCCGACTGCGCATGTGGATCGGATCTAAATGCCAGGCCAGGCAGTTGTTGTCCACCTCTAAGTCTGCTCTTGACAGGCTGCTTCCATAGAGATGTTAGAGTAACGCATTTCTGTAGAGGTTTGTGAATACATAACCGTTCGCAGGAGAGAAGCAAGATTTGAAGAAGTAGACCTGTGTTTTGTGCCTTCGTTTTTACGTTCTGTCCATGCTGGGCGGCAGGACTTGATCATTTCGCAGCAGGATCGAATGGACGACTTAAAAGATCTCGTTCCAGATGTAAACTGACAGCCTTTCTGGGTCCACCTTGCCGCCTGGTGGCTCCTCTAGCTGGTAATTTTGCTGGCTTCTGCACTGTTTCTGTTGTCCCTTCATCGACAGCTGGTTGCTTTTTGTTCAATGTACACCTACTTACGGAAGCCATGTTCAAGGTGCAGTTTCTTCCTTAGGGAAAGAGCAGGGGCCTGGCTACACCAGCGAGATGTTCACATGAGCATTTCCCATGCTTTTGTCTGGTAACGGGTTGTTGGATGCCATTTCTCTGGTTCTGTTGAATGAGTGTAGTAAGTTTGGTCAGTGGTTGAGAGTCTGGTATGAAGGAATGTGTTTGAAGCTGGCATTTTTTCTATTGAGGAACATGTCCAGGTGGGTAAAGACGAAAACTAAGTCGTGCCTCTTAATCAATGTGATGATGTCCCTTAACCGTGTCTTTTTTAGCCTGAACTGTTCCAAGCTTGTTTCTGTAGCGTTTGCCAGTGGATTTCATTGTTCCTACTCTGCGGAATTGTGGAAAGCGTGAAGTGTCTCTTTGAAAGATCTTTTCCTTCATACACGTTTATGCTGTTCAGTTGAAATGCCTTGGCTGTTTGCAATGAAATTTAAGTTTGACGAAGTACCACATTGGTTACACGAGTGTTAGTCACGGGGTGTTGCTGATGTCTACTGAGCTGACAGGGTACAGGGTTTGGAGGTATTGTAATGTAGACGATTTGCTGAAAGTCCATCTTTCGTCGTGGTATAGAAAGTGCTCCTGCTAGACTTCTAGCTATGAAAAGGGGTTGCTTATGGAGTTCTCTGAAGTCTGTCAAACCTCACATACCCAGACACATCGTCTTGAGTTTGACTATTTTGTAGATATCCTTGTCTTAACAGACATGGCTTTCCTCAGTAAGTTATGCTTTAACGTTTTGAGTAAAGTCAGTTCATTAGCTGTTGTAAAGTTTAGTCTCTTTCCGAACAACTTTGTTGGATGAGAGAATCATCAGGGTAATATTCATGTCGCATACAGTGAATTCTTGACCTCTATCTAAAATCATGTTACGGCCTCTTATGAACACGATGTGGGCAATGTTTCTTCAGACAACACTTCTGAGCGGATTTAGGTTCAAGTTCAGCTTTCACTTGTTCCCCAGTCAAGGTGATTCTTTCATCGCATCCGAACACGTCGTCCAGAAAATTGTCATAATGCTTCTCTGTTTGGGCACTTTAGAATCTTGAAAGGAAGATCATTGCAATTCTGAGCTGTGCAAGGTATGCCAACAACAACTTCAAAGATCTGAATTCGTATCGTGAGCTTTTAGGAATGCCCAGTTTGGATTTGCCGATACCAATTTTGAATAAATTTGTTTGGATAGGAACTCACATACCATTAACAGCGATTAGTGGGTTTAGTTGTAGAATCGAATTACTTTCCGAGCATCACATCTTCAAGTACAGCAAAGATCAACCCCATGAGTTCTTCATTTGCATGTTTGATACATATCTATGTTGTGCAATGTGTAGGGTGTAGTGATGAGTGGCACCTTCTTGACAGCTTTGGAATTAAGTGTGGAGATACCGGGCTATGCTTGTTATGGCGTGGAAATCTGTAGATAGGGCTGACAAGTTAATCATGCTGAGGCCTCCACAGGACTTATCTATCTAGGTGAAGTATAGGATATTTGAAGTCCATTGTGCAAGGTCTAAGACCTTACCAGAAAGAAATCAAACGTGGGAAGGTTGGATGCAGTGAAATTGTGAATGTGCTCACCAGGATGTTATCTCTTGCACACGATGTGAGTATCACGTATTTGGGTGTTCCGAATGGAAGATGTGTTTCGTTTGTATTTCTCTCTAGATCTCTTTCCGTCTCCGTAAGTAGTGAATAGATGTCTCATTTCAATGTATTAGTGGCGATACCTTCTCTTAACGATGTTATATACTAACCCTAGCACAGTACTTTTTGTGTTAAGGAAATGACCCTTGTCCTGTAGATAGAAGTTTTCAGGAAAGTGATGTCAACATGAATTCGTTCCGTATTCATGAAGTATCGGACCACTGTCCTATGTACCTTACAGGACCGATGCGTTTAGCTAGCTCCAGTCTTCAGTCAGTTCGCAATTTACCATATTTGAGGGCTATATTTCTGTTTCTGGATTTCTTTTTTCAGAATTGTAGAATCGTTCCGAGTCTACAATTCTGAAAGTCTACAATTCCCTTGTACGAAGCTAGTTCCTCAGGTTCCCAGAGTCACGTCCTTTCGGCCTCGTATGACAGCCTTGAGTGTGTTGAAAGCGTTTAGTCTCGTCGGAGCACAATAATAGGCTTTCATGAGTTGGAACTCAATAATGGTATAAGAGTCGTTATCTGGATTGATTGTAGATCTTTAGGCACCTATCCATGGGCATACATCTAATTATTGTGGATGTTTGTCCTCTGCCGACGCGGTCAGGCGTAATTCAAGTGCAAACGTCTTTATCTGGAATATCGAAATTTATTCTATGAAACATAACTGTAAAAGTTACTGACGAAGTTTTTCCGACGACTTGACATTTTTATGAGGACGTCGTACCGAAAGAAGACCCGTTTGAGATTGACTACTAACAAACTAGATTACAGGGCTCCTTCTAGGAACTTCTAAGGCAACATATAGTAATGCGAGTTATGTCTTTTAAGCGAAGGCTCCCTTGTGAACGATATCTTTTCTAGTCACCGAACTTATCTGGGCGGTTTAAAGTACTTTCCAACCCCGCTAAACTGTCTAGATTTTCAGTATCTGGGCAGTTTGGAGTACTTATGAGGCTATGGAATTCCCTTGAAGTACATGGCAGATCTGTGGTTCTGTGGAAACCTGTTTTGAAGTAAAATAGTGTGGCGGTAGTCGGCATAGGTCCATCTCACCGGCGGGCCCTCATGTTCTCGAGTGATTTGCACAATTGTTGCTCTCAGCATCCGCCAAAAGCCGCTTGATAATCATCCTCAAATAATCTACAAAAGCATCGCTTGCGATTTTGTGCCACGTGTACAATCGACGTCGTGCAATTATAGCCCTCTCGTTCCCCTTCACATTGCGTTCAGCGTAGCTTGCACGGACAGATTAAACGCAACCACGTATCGATACCGTAGGTCGTGTTGGAATCATGAAGTGAGCATGGATGAATGGCTGGATCAGTCTGTGCGCGCGCAGCTCTCTACCGCCTGGTGTACCCTGTATATCCCAGATCCGACGGTCACGGAGCCGTTTGGAGTTTGTTGAGTCGAAGGTCTCACTCACTACCGTCAGTCTCTGTCGAGAAGTCCGTCGTATTAGAACGGCCGTTGGTTCATGGTACATAATAATTGTCAACCACCCATGTCCATGGCGCAGCAGCCGCGAGACCTGGCCGAGAGGTCTTCCACGGCTGGTAGCCGGTCTCATGTTCACGATCGGCGATCCGATGGACCCGATCGATACCCCGCCACATCCGATGGTGTTTGGGAGGTCTGGCACAGCGATGGCTATAGATCCAGAGTTGCATGTGGTCCGACGTTCATACATGACTGCCTCATGGGCCGGCCGTGGATGTGTCTATCTGAAGGTGCATGAAGCGCGGTGCCCACCGTCGTCTTAGCAGGTAAGTCCGGTGATATCGAAGCGGAGGCTCCATTGAATGATCATTCACCCCGTAGACGGCAACAGACCAAAAGATTGTGGAGCCATTACTTTCCGGCGGTCGAAAACTTCCTCCTGATCTCATACGTGAGGAAAGATTCTCTCTTTCAGAGGCTTGTCACTGAGCATGTTTTGACGACGGAGAATTTTCTAACTTCTGGTTATCAAGGAAATTTCTGACGGTGAAAAGATGTTATTTTTTTATAATGAAAAAATAGGAATGCACGAACACGATGGAGGTCCAAAAGCTTCTAAAACATTTTTTTGTTTTCGGTGGTTCCCGGGAAATGGTGAGTTTGTGGCGAATGATCACTTAGTAGCAAGGATTACCTCTAACTCATGAAAGGGTATATTTCTACCATTTCAGTGGACAAATATATCACTTATTATCAAATACATGTATATCTCTCTACGTTATGGTCTCTTAGCTTTTCATTAGTGAGAAAGTGTGAGCAAAGTTTATTGCCGTTCGGGGTAACTCGCAAAGCATGTACATGTATCAGCCCGCGATTAGTAAATCGCAGGCTTCAGAATGGTAATCGTAGAGTTTTTAAAAATGGTAATCCGCTATATTTTCAGGAGTTTGGTTAGTCAACTCGGAATCCGTAGGATGGCTTTTCAGTTTTCGCTAGGTGAGATTCTCAGTACCTTCTCTGTGCTTACAATATTGCATAGTAAGCAGGGATATTTTTTTCCTTGATATTTAAATGGCCGGTTTGCGATCTCTGCAGTGTCGCTTCTGCATTCACTTTTCTTCCCCATTGCCCTCGGGGTTTAGCACGTACTTTGCTCCGGCACGGTAAGAACCGGGTATCCAAGCCAAGTGTAAACCTGGCGCGGCGGAGCAAAGTTGCCAATATGTAGAGGGAGGAAGACGCCGACAGCTTGATATGAATGGATGAATGTGGGAAGAGAGGAGCATGCATGGGAGGGGGGCGAGCGGACCATAACGCCATGGCACCATGGCCAAAACATACCACGTGTAATGTCTGCATCTGGTTGAGAGTTTCATCCACTGGACGCAGAGGGTGCGATTTCGTTTGAATATCAGGAAACCAGGATTTGGGTTCAGTTCGCGAGGAGAGCACACTTCTGTGCGGAGATCAAAACAGGTTCGCCGCTCATGTGGCTCACTTGGGCACGACGCAGGTACCTACATGGACCCTAGGCCTTAACCTACCTCGGGCCAGGTCTGGTCACGCCGGGTCCGCTGCGGTGAGCGACAGCGTCGTAGGTTAGGTTAAGGTCCCCCGGAGCATTTATGGGCGACCGGTCTCGGGAGCAACGACGGACATCGACCTCGAACCCACTTCAGAACGCTCCCCAACTTCCTTCCGCGGCCTCGTCGTCGTCGGGCGCCGGACGTCGTCTGTGCGAGCTCCCCTAATTATGGAGGAGGAGGATTCAAAGCCCGGGCGAGAACGCGTGCGTGGTTCAACCGAGTAAGTGTTGGATCCGACGCGTCCGGCACCTTTCCCTTAGCGGAAATATTCCGCCTCCGTTGTCTCTTGCTCCTCGCTCACGGATAATTCGACACCCTTCCTAACCACTCGAGTCTCCACTCGGTCACTTCATTCATAATAGCACTTGATTCGCGTCGAACGAGGAGTTCTACCGAAAGCGACAATCCCTCCAATTGGCGGTACAGAACTGGCGGGCCTGGCAGCCTGCATCATCACAAGTGTACGCTAACCGGCCGCGCATCTCGTTCCGCAGGGCTTGACCGGACGGAGTCGGAATCAGATTCCGGACTGCGCGGGCCTGGTGTAAATTCCAACCCACCCCCGACTGCCGACTGACCGGCCGGGCGGGCGGCGGGCGGCCAGTCACGCCCAGGCGATGTAGATGGGGATGTGACGGCGAGCGGCTCCGTGAGCGTACGGTAGGCACTTGTCGGAGTACAGGTCTGGCGCCTGTCGCCTGTCGCCTTCAAGCCCCGGCTATAAAGCTCGGATTGACGGAGGAGCGAAAGCGGTCCGCTTTCTGGGTCGATCGAGAGCGAGAGCCAGTGGAGGCGAGAGAGATGTGATGGTGCCATCCGGGACAGAGGACGACGGCGGAGGGTGAGAGGGCCGGCGAGCGAGGAGATTTTTATTCGGGTGCGACGGGGTGGCTTTTTGGTTGGGTCGGGGTTGGTTTTGCAGGCCCCGTCCGATATTGGTTGATTCACTCCGGGCATACCAAACCAAACCTCTCCTCTGCTCTGCGTTATGTAATGCCGCGGCTTGATCGTCGGATCTGCGGATCTCGGAGGCCTGCGATGGGGAGGGGGAGGGGGAGGGAGGGAGGGAGGGAAGGCGACAGGAGGAGGAGGAGGAGGGGGAGGGGCCGGGGAGGGGAAGGGAAGGGAGGAGTAGAGAGGGCGAGGGCCAGCAAAGGGGGGCGGGAGGCAGGGCAGGCAGGCAGGCAGGGGGCTGGCTCGCTCTGCTGCTGGGCTAGAGGTGGGAGGCGAGAGGGGAGGGGAAGGGAGGGAGGAGAGACAGGGCTGGCTGGCTGGCTGGCTGGCGATGATGCCTCGTGAGTAGGAGGAGGAGGAGGCCGGGGAGGCCAGTTTTTGGGGTAGTGGGGGTGTTTGTGTGGCCTTTTGACGGCTTTCTTGCTCTTTCGTCCGTGGTTGCGTGCGTTCATTTCTTCACCTCGCCCGGATGACGGACATGAAAACGCCGCTCAGGCCTGCTGCTTGTTCGTCTCCCTTCTCTTCTTGTTGTTGTGGGAACTGTAGGGGTACGGGCTGATCTCAGGGGGAGCGATGTTGTTGTTGTTGTTGTTGTTAGAGTAGGAGCCACGGCAGGTTTGGTGCTGCAAGGAAGCCAGGCACGGACGCGCTGGAGCGAGGCCAAGAGCGAGCCCGGCCGTGAGGGCGGAGGAAGGGAGCCGCGCGTTGTTGTTGGGCGATGGGACGGCCCGCGGCCGAGGCCTCGGCGGAGAGCTGTTGTTGATGCTGGTGCATGGCAGGTTTTGAAAAAATTGGGTAGGCGGGCGTCGGATGCAACGCCAAGTATGCGGGTATGCGCCTTGTGTAGGGAGGATTGGTCGCCAGGCGATAGCTGCCAGTTTCTGCAAATAAGAGCCTGTTTTGATCTCGGCACGACGTCGTCGTCGTGGTCTGTGTGTGCTCCCGCTAGACATGGCAAGGATGCATGGGTGGGCAGTGTTCTGAGTCGAACTGGGCCAGCGCACGCTCTTAGTCAGTAAGGATGGCAGTGATGCTTCAGCCGCTTATTGGCAGGCAGTTCTATGTTGTAAGGATTTGGGTGATATTTGTTCTGACTCTACGCTGGTGCCTGCATCTAGGAATTGCATGGAGGGGAAGAGTGCACCGCCAGTTATGATCCCGATGTCACGGTCTTCTCGCGACTATCGGGCATCCAAAAATCCCAAGGTTAGTTCCGAAGACACATCCTCTGCCTCCGCTGCCTCCAAGAAATCGCAGATCCGTGCTTCTGGTAGTCCCACTCGTTCTACTCCGGCGACCAAGAAACCCAAGACTGGAGGCTTAATACTTGTGGGCCAGAATCGTTTGGCGCTGGCAATCGAAACGAGTTGTGGTCGCAGCGGCAGTGCGACCCAACCTCTTCGACCTGCATCATCGAGGTCCAAGCGCGCGGCGGACGCCAACGGGGACGTTACTTTGGAAACTCTTCGACTTTCAAAGAAGTCGAAGATCGGCATTTCTTTGGCCAACGGCGAGGCCAGCGCTGACGATAACGAGGCTCTGATTCGTAAGAACTCCAAGTCTGAGGGCTTGCGAAGGAAGCAAGCGACAGGTACTGCATCCCAATCTAAGACTTCCGAGGCCACTGCATCTGACAATGCGTTGAATGCATTGAAATTATCCGAGAGTGGTGCCGGTAGTGCAGGCAGTACCAGCCACTCCGAGGACACAAACACCGTAGGAGGATCTGTTTTTCAGATCAGCGAAGGAGCAGTAAATGCTGCAGGTTCCTCTGAACCTCCGGAACTCACAGAACAGAGGTCTCTTCGACCGAGGCCAAAACCACCTGTCGTAAAAAAGGTTGTCAAGCGCACGCGCTTTCACGAAGTAAGTCTGGGTGATTCGGATGGACCGCACATCGTGGGTCGAAGAATCAAGGTGTTTTGGCCACTGGATAAAAAGTGGTATTACGGTTCAGTGAAAGCGTACAACAGCGCGAAGAAGCAGCACAAGATTATTTACGACGACCATGACGAGGAGTGGCTTAAGTTGCAGAAGGAATCTTTCAGACTAGAGGTTTTATCTGGAGATGCTTTTGGGTATGCCGCGCCGTCCTCGGACCTAGCAGCAGAGTTAGTCGACTCGGTGTCCATTGCTGAGTGTGACGAGAGCAATAAGCACCGTGGTGATGCTGTTGACGGGAGCACCAGCGCATCTGATGACAAGCCGGCGGCGGAAAGAACAGGAGTTCGCAGGAGCAAGGTGGGGAGGGAGCGAGAGAGCGAGAAAAGGCGGAAGGTCAGTGAGGGAGTCAGCGAGGAGGGGAAGAAATTGGACGGACCAGGACCAAGTGAGCACAGGAAGAAGGCAGGTAGAGTTAATGAGCAGAAGAAGAAATTGGAAGGTGATAGAGAACCAAAGAAGAAACCCGAAGGAAGCGCAGAGCGCGGGAAGAAAACGGATTCTGCGAAAGGTCTCGAGAGGAAGCGGGGAGATGCGAAACAGAGGGCAACGAAGGGTGAAAAACTTGGTCGCGGGAATGCCAAGCGGGCTGTTTTGGAAGTTTACGAGCGCAGGAAGAAGAGGGCTCAAAGTGTGGGCACCAGCGGACCGGGTGACCGCAAAGGGAAAGGTATAGCGGCGGATGGATTAAATGATCGCAGGAAGAGAGCCGGCAAGGAGAGTAGTCGTAAGGGTAGTGTCTCACAGACCCGCACGAGACATTCAGCTACGGAATCCACAGACGGCAAGAAAGTTTCAAGAAGAGGCATTCGTGACAACGATCGGCTTTTCGCAAGCATTAAGTCTAGCGCTGTCATAAGGCGGAAGGTCGCCGAGAGCAAGCGGTCTAAAGATCAAAAGCCTGTGGGAAGTCCTTCCGTTCAGGTGAAATCTAGTTCTGTAGAGGATCATGAGGCCCCTGAGGACGAAGAGAAGGTGTTTCCTCGCCCTCAAGCCGCCGAAGCAGGGCTGGAGCTACTGACCCTTCGTCGCGAGGAAAGAATTGCCCGCGCCGCGAACGCAATTGATCCTCTATCGCCTGTACAGAATAAAACCGATCACGAGTGTGGTACTGTGGGGTCGCCTGTGACGTCGACGGTCGATGTTACAAATGATGAGGATGACACCACATGTGAAGCCGATTCACCCACTTCTGTTCACGACACTACTTCTGATGACAAGGCTAAGAGCGAGGAATGCACCTCGTGCGACGACGAAGCTCTTCCTTCTTCAGATAGCGTGCCCAGCTCTCGAACTCTTGGTCTGGACGAGGCCACAGGAGCCATGTGTGGGGACCAAATGTCAGGAGAAATGGTAGTCTGTCAGCGGAGTATCAGTACTACTGAGCATGTTGATCTGGATACGGAGAGTAGAAGTTTAGCAGCAGAGTGCGTCGAGCGGAGCCCGGAAGAGGCGGTCCACATTGGGTGTGATGCAGATGCAGAGGATTGTACGTTGCAATCTATGGATCTGAGATTCGAATTTCCGCCCTCGACTGTAGAGGAGTCCAGCAACCAGGAGGTGCTAAGATCTCCCTTATCTCTTGCTACGATGCCTTCATCTGATATGAAACATCCACCAGATAAAGTATACTACAGGGTTAGACCTAAGAGACTTAAGGTGTATCGAAGAGAAACACATCAGTCAAGTAAGGTCCAGAAGAAAGGAGTCGAACAAGATGAGGGCCGTGTGGCCTGTGCTCCTGTCGTTGAACCTGTTGTCTCGCAGTTGTCAGCAGCCAGTTGTGTAATCCCGGCTCTTCATGTGAGTCTATCTGTCCTATTTTCGTGTAGCCAAGATGGTGATCGAGGTCGTGTAGGTTGTAGGATTTGGTTTGAGTTTGCGATTGGCTGATTTGTTTGCCCTGCTGAGTGTTTTGTCCGGAAGGGTTTTTGTTCTTGTAATTCATGGTTTGTCCGTCTTATTTTTTTCATTTTATTCCACTCACATTGGAAACAAATCGATACCCACCGAACGGCTGGGGGCCGCGGTGTTTGCTTAGTTTGCATTGGCAGGACCGTGCTCAAGATGCCACAACGTTGTAAAGGCTTTTTTGGTCTCTGGCAGGTTAATTTGGATGGGCCATTGTATTTTGGAGTGGGGTTGGAGGGGCCGCGGTTTCTTAGTTCTTTGCGGAGTTCCGGGCTGGGAGAGTGGAGCAGGTTGAGGGATGCCACACTGCAACTTGGCACGTACTTCGGGGCCCCGGGCGTTTTGTCACTTCTACGAGTGTCACGGAGGCCCCTGTCCTTGTTTCGTATGACCCATGGTCCTCTAGGGCATACGAGTACCAAGATGCAAGACTTGTCGGACCTTGTGATTGCCCGCACACAAAATTGTAAACAAACCGAGACTTTGGTGGGGTTCTCTTTGGGTGCAGTGGAAAACAATTCAAATTCGTGCAGTTCTGGTGCTTGTGTTGGGATATCCACCGACGACGCCGATGCGTCTCACGGACTGCCGATTACGCGTCCATGCGGGGTTTCACGTAGGATAGGCTGCCCTGGGCCTCTTCGGAGGAGGAGATTGACCCATTCGTACAATCCGTACCTGATCGATCCGCGCAGAGACCACAAATGTCTTTCCCTCGGCCGCCAATCCGTCCAGGACCGGAGTGGGACTGCGCGTAGCTTCGAACGTTTGCTCTTCCCGGGTTCCAGACTTCCAACTTCGAGAGTCGAGCCTACCTTGGGCCTGGTGATTTCCACTCCTGGCACACTTGTACAGTTTACTTCTCGAATCAGTTCCCTTTCGAGAGTTCAAGCACCTTCTTGTCCGACAATCCCCTCTGCGGACTGTTCGTCGCGAATCAGTGGAGCACAGGTTGCTCCTCTCGTACAGCGATGTAGTACCTCGCTCTTGCAGAGAGTGCAGATTCGGTCTGCGCTTCTTGACTTGTTTCACGTGCGAAAGGGATCCATTTTTTATGTAAGTATTGACGAGTCTTCGTTCACAGTCTTGGTCTGGGTGTGGGATTGAATTGTGAAGGCACCGCAGCAAAGCACGTCGCGGACGGTGTTGGGGAGATTAGCAGAAAAGTGTTGTCGTCCGTAGAGGATATAGATCGTCCACCGCAGAGTAATTAGAACACGCCTTACTATTATTAGACGGCTTGAAATGTTGCTTGTGAGCGGACGCTTATGATTTCACCGGAGAAATGTCAATTCTTGTCGCATCTCGCCTTGTCCAATTTCTTCTCTGTAAGTGATTCCAGAGCGACGATGAGAATCTGCTGGAAACGGCGGTTGGTAAGTACAGATCTCTGTTTGGTTTGTAGATTTGTAGATTCCGTCGGATTGATGATCTTTTAGTACACTTCTTACATGCAGGCGTTGCTCGATGCATCTTCCGAGGCAGTTTGTGGGCAATTTCCTGTTGCCTCGGTTATGGGAGAATCAGCTCGGCATGACCCACAAGGTTGGGGGTGCAGGGAGGTGGGCACTTACTACGGTCGGCGGAGTCTACAGTCTCTGCTGAGATTAACAATAGACGATATTTGCACCAGATGTGGCTTCTCTGGTATTTGGGGTTATTGCGTGGGAATGACGGCAATCATTCTCATGGTACTCAAAGCCGTATACGAGTCTTGCAAACATTTCGGGTTCGGTGTACCTTACGTTTCGGGCGAGTGTTGCGAAGATTTGGTTCGGTGCTTGATCAGAAAACTACTCGCAGATAGAGTAACCGCTGTACATTTGACCCGCTTTTGGGGCACGAGGGTGGTAGCAGACCTCCGAGAGGTAGCAGACTTTTTCGACCATGTTCCTGGGGAGAATCTTGGGGATATTGTATCGCGTTTGGGTTGCCACTTCTGCACTCGCTGGCCGTATCACATGGCTGATAAACGGGGTGATTGCACTGTGTTTGATCGATATCCTGCGGGTCTCGCAAGTCAAGATGGTTTCCCTGATGACCGAGATTGGGTTTCTTGTCTGGATGAGGAGCTCATCTGCCGCTGTAGGGTGGAAGGCGTTCTTGAGCATTGTGATTCTTCTCCGATGTCGGTTTGGGGTTCTATGCCTCTTGCTTCTACTCCCACATTTGATTTGCATCCCCTAGATGCAAGGTGGCGTGGAGGCTGGATTCCTCAGTCTCTCGTTTCACCTGAGGAGATGTCGATGTGTGCATTCACCTTGTCTGAGGCTCTCAGAAGACCATCACCATCACTTATTTCAGCTGCTAACATTAGACCCCATTCACGGGAGGTACTCGCTATAGAAGGGACTGCCTTACAAGTCGGGAGGGGTTTAATCATTGGAACAGTGCCATCTGTATTTGTAAGTGTATCAAAACCGGGTGCTATTCATCCGCTTGTTCTGTTGGCTGACTTTATTTGTGCTTGTTCTACTGTGCCGCATGGAGGCCTGAGAGTTGAGTTCCAGTATTTAAGAGTGGTGGCTCTGAATGTTTGCTAATTTTGATACTGAAAAGGGTTTTATTTTTCATTTGTTGTGACAGGTGGTACTTGATAAAGCTTCGTATGCAGCCGCGGGGCCCGTCCTTTTATCTACATCCGCCACTAGAATCCTTCCAGAGGTTTATCCGAGAACGATGATGCGGAGATGTACCGATGTAGGAACCTATTATGGCCTACCTAGTATTGAGTCTTTCCTTCGAATCTCAGCAGATTTTTGGAGGAGAGTCTTTCAGAAACAGGCTGCCTTTGAGGAAGTAAACACGGATTGCGCTCTCGATTCAGTACCCGTCGTTGAAGAAGCAATGGGTGGTTTGTTTTCTCAGTGGCCTGAAGTGTCAAGTGTTGATACTGTCGATGATGAAGACTTGTCTGATACGGAGGATAGATTGCAGATAAGCTCTGCTGCTGAAGGGCCAGGAGTTTGTGAGTCTTTCAATGCCGATATAAGCAAGAAAGACGACAATGGAGAAGACTTTGATTCCATGAAAGCTTCTTTAGATTCACAAGCACAATCTGCAGAGGGACGCAGAGCTGGGAAGGGACTGAAGCGCGGTTTTGTGGACGCCAGTCCAGCTACGATCTGCGATGGAGCAGATGGCGAATATCCTTTAGGTGATGATGCACTTAGTGGGAGACCATATTCTAAACGGACCAGGGCTGAGATAGAAAGTAGTGGTGCTGCAGTCATAACAGACAGTGTAGATACATCATCCCCTTCTGACGTGGATGGGAACGGGTGTCCTGCCCCTTCATCAGCGGCAGAGCCAAAAGCCGATGAATCTTCTCTCCCTAGAGTAAACGTTCTGAAACTTCGAAGGTGTCCCACAAATAAAGGATTGTGGCGTGTTGCAGGAAACTCCTGTGCAGCTCCTCAGGATAGAAGTATGTCAGGGCTTGCGTTTGAAGTGAGGGATACTGGCGACGGCGCTGAGCCCATGACCCCTGTTTTCGAGACGAGTAGAAAGCGTGCGCTCGATCAATGTTCAGAGTCCTCGCTGCCGGGGAGAAATGATCAGAGTGGGAATTCAGTTTTGACTTCTACATTTTCGAGCAATTTGACAGTTTGTAGTCCAAGTTCTCTGGACCAGGACATGATTGGAGCAAACACAAACAAGGCCTTTTCATTGAACTCCAAGTCAAAAGAGGTTTGGTATGATTGTGGGATGACATTCATGAACGAAGTTGCCGCTGAGGGATTGGAACCCAGGAAACGGCGGAGAAAGGGTCCGAGTCCTGTTCATGGGGACGACGTTGAAGCATTGTCAGAACATTCACTCCGAAGATCAACAGACTCGGGTTGGGTGCCTTGCAGCGCCAATGTGCTGATCACAAGGAGTGACAGGTGCTTACGGGAAACCGGCGCAATCGTCGAACTCCAGTCTGGGCACGGCAATAGCTGGATTCTTTCTGTCTTCCTTCACGGCGAGAGCAAGTTCGCTTACAAAGCTGACCAGCCTGTTGCTACAGGTACATCCAATAAATTTACACATGCTATGATGTGGAGAGGTGGTAAAGATTGGAGTCTGGAATTTGTGGACAGAAAGCAATGGCAGCTGTTTAAGGATCTACACGAAGAGTGTTTTCAGAGAAGTGTCAGAGCGGCCACCGTGCGGCACATTCCAATACCTGGTGTTAAGCCAATTCAGGAATTGCCAAAGACAGGGGTCCGTTTTGTGCGTCCATATTCTAAGTACATACACCAATCTGAGGGCGAAGTGGAGGCAGCCTTGACCAGCTCACGAGTCATTTACGATATGGACAGCGAGGACGAAGAATGGCTAAATCTGGTCAACACGGAGAAGGTCAGTTCCAGAGGTACCAGGTCAAGGCCTAGGATTGAGGAGGATACGCTGGAGAAGGTTATGGACAAATTAGAAAAATTTTCTTTTGTTCGCCCACAGCATGAACCCTTGTTGACAAGCGAAGTCGCTGCTGAGATATGCCAGACCCTGGGATCTCAGGAAGCCATAAGAGCGATTCATGGGCACTGGTACGACAAGAGGAATCGGAAGGGCATGGCCCTTGTTCGTCATTTCCAGGTTAGTTTGGTATTCTGATATCCAGTTAATTTCATTATGATTTCTGTTTACTTGCTAGCATTTCGCGGGCAATCAATTACTACATTCATTGTTCTGTCTTGCCAATGATTTGTGGCCTTCTTGTGTACCCAACAGCCAGCACCGTGGGAACAATATCAGAGGCTGCTGGAGGATTGGCAAATGAAAGTCAACCAACTTCAAGAAGACTCTCCAACTGCAAACAAACAGCAACTGCAATCGATGTGCAAAAGACCGCCGCTGTTTGCTTTCTGCTTGCGACCTAGAGGGTTGGAGAATCGCAACAAGATGCAAAAGCAGCGGTCGCAACGGAAGCAGGGCTTAGGCGGGAGTTCTTCAAGGCAATGGACGTTGGCAGGCCCAGCTAGTGATTTCTTCCTAGACAGTCCTTCTAAGCGGCCTACCCACTTTGAGAGTTCAAGTGGACCTTTGTACGGTACGTCTCGTGTTTGTGACCGATGATTTTCAGAGAGAACTGCAATGATGCTTAACTGATTCTTCAAGATCTTTCTTAGGTAGATTTGCAGTGCACCTCAGCTCAAATTGGATAAAGTAAAACTTAGTCAAGTTAACACTCAAAGTCCGAAAAGGTGTTGGGACTGGTCGAAATTGGTCGTAGATTTGATTTTGGTGAACTAGGATGGAGCAACTACAACGCTTATTAACACTTGGCTGTTTACGCAATTTGGAATCAGGATCTAGAAAGTATGGTCGGCAACGCATATCCGAGGACACCTACACAGAATCAATGGCTGTGGATCTGTCAGAATCTTTCAACGCCCTAGCTTCTGCCGAGGGTTTCATTTCTTCCACGTTCTCAGAGCAGGTCATGCCCATTGGAGTGGGGGTCACTTTCTCTCACGCAGAGAGCAGTCCTGTAGCTCGAACGGAAAGGACAACCACTACTAGACCGCACAAGAAGAAGAAGGCTGGGAGGAAAGCCCGAAAGATGAGGTTGCTTGCTTCAGCTGAAGAGTCAAAAAGGAAACGGCAATTACGGGCACAGCAAGGACACGTGAAAGAGAGGTTTCTTGATATGGTTCATAGTCCCCACTCCCTCTCTCAATTTGTTCAGCCTTCTGTCGATACACCTTCAACGTCGACCTTGTCATTCCCTCAAACTGATAGTGAGGATGTAGATCTGGAGGCTGTTGCCATAGCGAAGGCAGCTGAGGCCAAGCGTGCAAGAGAGGAAGCAACAGCCAAAAGGCTTCGAGCGCAGGCTCTATACGCGGTTGCAGATGCTGCTATGCACAAAGCAGTGGCGGCAGTGATTGCTGCAGATGCAATTCACGCATCTGAGAGAGCTATGGAGAAAGCCGCTGCGATGTCGGGCCAGGGCGTTGAGTTTCCTGAACAGACAGGAGAGGTTCCTGTGAAAGACGAGGGAAGCAGAACGCGCCTCCGCACTCCAGTTACTGAGGGAGGTACATCATTTGGCTCTTGGCGGCGAGCGTTGAATAGTGCTTCGAGAAATGCAAACCACGTGCTCTCTAAGGGGACCAGCAGCAAGCAAGGGTTGTTGCCGGATACCGATGATCCGCTTTTGCCAGTTGCAAGTTGGAGCCAAGAGCTTGGGGCAGGACTTGGCACGAGGTTATTGCAAACAGGGGAGGTAAGTCCTCAAAGACAAAGATACTCTCCCGTTCTTGAAGGGCTCTCTAAAAGTCCAACACGGGGAGTAGTAAGCTTAGGTCGGACAAGAGGAGAGAGTATGATGGCCATGTTGACTAGATAGGCACTTTTGGTGACTTGTAATGCTTTAAACAACATTGTGTAATATGTGTTCTCAATGGGTTTAGTACCCATCATTGCATGTCATTTTGCAGCACAACCGCTGTGTAGGTTGCATCTCATTGACAGGCATGTACAGGAAGATAGCATGCTCTACCCTTTTCCCCTATAGCTTGTGACTCATTTGGGCAAAGGTTCAGCTCGAAAGTCTTCTCATTGAATGGGGGCTTGTGGAAGCATGGAGCCATTACCCACTCTGCTTGGTCCATTTGTAGTAAAGCATGACCGACTGTTTCACACGACTTGAGCTTCAGATACTCTTCTTTTGCATCATAAATTAGCAAGTGCCATACGATGTGCGAGTTTTGGTTTCTTGCTAGAATTTTTTTGTGCAACTGTCAGAAAGAGTTTCGTTTATTGTTGAAGCACGAACTGTGTGCTGTGGAATTTGTCTTATTCAATCATAAGAATTGTGGTCTACGAGAACCAATCAGGCACATCAATCACATAACAGCTTTTCCAAAATAGTTCCTGTGAGTGTTCCTAGAGTTACATTTAATTCTCCTCAGCGTTCTCATCCAGGCTCAGTGTGTCAAAGATGAGTGCTTTCCAAATTATATGCGGGCATCAAGTCAGCTGGAATTCTTTGTGATTTGTATCGAATTTGATAACGATTTTTTCATAAAGCACACGATCAGTGGAATGTTTGCCTCGTACTTGCCATGTATTTCCTTTTTACACCTCAAACTGAGTTGATAAATTGCTTTGTTTGTACTCTTACATGTGGATTGCAGTAACCTGCTTCTCATGCTTCCGTTCAGCGCAGTCGTTGTGACTGAAGTCTCAAATATTGAAGTTCATAAAGTTTGAGTCGCTACCCTTTTGCTATGCAAGGCAGTATTTCGAGGCTAAATCCCAGTGCTGTCTGAGTAATGTGTACCTCTCCTATGGAGGCCTTGGGTATAGTTGGAGCTTAAATTTATAAAGCTTGTTGCGTTGAGTTGGTTGTTTTATATGCTTCCCAACTCCTGCTGTTTCGAGCATGGGACATTGGCCTTAAAAACTTGCGGAATTTTCACACTCTGTATTGCAAAAGTTTTACTCAATGTTCTCACATGTCAGAATGCCACATTTTTTCACATGGTCGCATTTGGTAGTGATATCTTTACGTAGAAGGTCGTCTTGATTATGTACACTTGCTTTCTTATTTGAGGATTATGGCATGCATAAGTGTTCAGTGTCTGAGGCTGCTGCGTTCTCTACAAATCAGCGTATTTTCGATTAGAGGCGGTTTCTGCCAAATAAATTGGTTCTTTCGCTAGATGTAATTTCCACCATAATGGGAACGTATGTATTTCCGCCTGAAGCAGCGCACGCGAGAATGAACACAGCTGTGATAATCTCGGAGCCGTGAGAATTCTACCCATGAGCTTCTGAAGTTAACCAACATGGAGCCTGAGCCCGTACTCGTTATGTCCACATTCTCAGGGATGTTCTAATGTAGATGTTATTACATCTAGCGTGCAAACTTTCGTATCTCACAAGTAGCTCTGTCGTCCACACGAGGATACACGTTGTCATATTCATTCGGCTGGCAAGGACCAGTACACGTTTATCCTCTATTGGCCAGACAAGGACACCTGTCGGTGTAATGCCGCCGAATGTACATGCTTAGTAGGGTGGCAGGAGTCGTCAGGAATTGTCAGGAGTATAGAAACTTGACCTTTTGACACGTCATCGGCTGATAATGGCGGTGGTCAATTGGGCTCTTGACTCGTCATGCGTTGTTCTTCCATTCGCGTCCATGAACCCATGAGTTAATGAATGTCTCAGTCGTCAGTCTCCAAGGTTCAAGATCATTTAGTCAACCGATTACGTTTCGTCGCTGAGAAGTTAAACAGCGCTTGTGGTAGGTACTTATGAATTGTTGTCGATTGTTGCAACAGGAACAGTCCCAAAAAGAGAGTTTGTATTTGCAAACACTACGAATGACAGTTTGATACATACATAGAAGATATATATATATATATATAAAACCTTCAGATGTGAAACTTTTTGTCCTGCGCAATATTTACTCCTTGATTGCAAAATAAAACCATGACTAAATCAATTTGAAAAAGTATAGGTTCACACAAAAAATCACACACTATTATACACTTGTTTACAAAAGAAATGAAAAGAATATTTATTTGATTAAAAATAATTTTAAGACCCACAAATCAAATGAAATGTAGAAGTAGTTTAAAAAATTACCTCAACTGGCTGAAAAAAATTTAAAAGATTTTTCTTTTCTAGCATGCAAAATTCAAGTTGGAACAAAGCTGAAAAGATGACATAATTATCACCAATTCAAGTGAAAATAAATACTTGAAATAAATAACTATTGCCAGTTATATTGCAAATTCATAATAATATAAATTAAAACCAACCGAAAAATATATTTTTCTTTATCTTGACCAATCAGTGGAATTAATCTTCAATTATTGAAATTCGTTCTTAAATTGATTATGAAACACCTTATAAACTTTAATTTAAAAATCTGTTCATATTTTTGCATGCATCATATTTCATGCATTAATTCAATCAAAATCTATTATTAGAATTTCTTTCAATTTGAATGAGCTGTATCATTTTTAAGGCTTTGTCTCATTTCAATAAATATTTATTGTCATGATTTTTTGACAACCTTTATTGCAACTGTTAATGTATCATCTTAACTATATATTTTTGCATCAAAATATTTTTGTGATTGATGTTTTGTTCTGTATAATGTAAATAATATTAAAAGTAAATTGAATTAAAAAAAACTAGATTTAAAGAACTTGAATAAATACTTTTTAATCTCATACGTTACTCATGATTTAAAACTTGTAAATTCTAAAATTTTCTACTTCACTATGTTTTAAAATCTAAAATCTCCATAATCAAAATTATTATTCAAATGTAACATCTAGAAGTAACTATGAAATAGGTATTTTTTTAATAAATTTGAGCTAACCGAATTATGAGGTGATAAAGTAAAATCTTATATAGTATAGAAAGATTACTAGTAAATTGTTCTTGTGTTTTTTATGTGAAAATCGGATAAGCACGATGTGTACAAGATTTTCAACATAAAAAAAATCTGTCATACAACTTTCAAAATCAAATAATTTTGATCAATGCATCAAACTTATTGAATCTATCGTTTTTTTCACTAGTTCATTAATTTTGTCAACAATTTTTTATATAACAAAATGATATTTGACTTCAAAATGCTTTACTTTGCTTTACATAATTTGATTTTTTGTCACTTTTTATTATATGAATTAGCTATGAATTTATCAAGATAGATTTTCCAAAGATGCATTCAAATCTAAATGTCAACATTTATAAAACTGTACATTTTTTAGAAATTACTAGATTATGGGACATATTCATTGTCATTATCAACAAAACATTACAAAAATTAGCATTCTTTTATACATCATCAAACACATAATCTTTACAAGTATGAATTTTGAGTTATTAAGAAATCACTTACATCTTTGTAATGCAAATTTTATCAATTTTATTTTATTTTTGATATTTTCCTTTAGTTAGAATAACATCAAATCTAGTACATAACATCAAATATATAAAACTATTCATTAGTTTTTTTACAAAAATTGATGAAATTTTCTCCTTTTGATAAAAAAACTTTAACATTGAGCTAAAGATTAAATCAAAAGAAATAATAAAATCAAATTGCCATATTTCATGTTAAATTCATGAAGTAAAGTTTTCATTTGTTTGATTTTGTAATTCATAATTTTTTGTTTCTAAATCCGGGTAAACATTCATATCTAATCTATTCTAAGATAAATTTAAATTCATCTAAAATTTAATGAAAAATCTCCATCAAAACTTTTGATTACGTAAAACCAAGAAACTCAATGACGCTCTGAAGCCATAATGTCATGGCTCGAGACGTTGGGTCGATTTGAGTTTGACGACGTGGTACACCTTGGGACGCCCTGCACATTGGGACCGCCATGCACGTTGGGACGTCAACGGGCTCGGGTTTTATAGGAGGCGAACTCGAATAACTGTCAGTTCTTCGAGTTGAGCCTTTCGCGTCGGGGTTGATCCCCATAGCTTCGACCCTTATTCTACTTGCGAGTCGTGGGTTTGGCTCGACTCTTGGTGTATTTGTGTTTCGACATTTTTACTCGAAGAACTCGACTTTGTGGCATTTGGCAATGATAATTCAGAAACATCGTAGCTGCGCGATTCACTCTACGAGAATTATTTACATCAGGGTGAAACTTCGACTGCCAATTCAAGTCCATGGTACCGAAGAGCTTTGATCAGGTCAGAGCAGTAAACAGAAGAAGCAGGCTGCGAATTTCACAAGTTCGATTCCAAGACAGAAAGCTTCTCGGACGACAAAGATCTACTGAAGGGAGTGATGTCCAGAAAGTGGGAAGGCACTCTGCGCATGAGTTTGGCTGATCTACGAAACGTTTTGTATAAGAGCAGAAAATCTAATCTTTCGCTCATGGAATGAGTTTGATCATCCATGTAATAACAGTTCACTTGCTTCAGTCACGAGCCGGTGAATCTAGACAAGGTACAAGTGAAAGTATTCGGAAGGAATAATCATTATTACAGGTATAGTCAATTGCCAGCAGCGTAGTCGGGATACTGCCTCGAGAGTTTTTCTTGCAAGCCCACATAAGTGCATTTCCACGAGATGTAAAAATGTGAGGTACATGATGCGGTTCGATCTAATTCAGGGATTATTGGTCTCTTGAGTACTCCGTCTTTTGTTCTTGCAAGCCGCAATCAGTGTACGTGGACAGTGCTCTGAGAGGTCAGTGAATGCGTAGTATTAAAGTGAATTAGATGCTGTGGGGACCATAAACTAGATCTCAAAGCATATATATTTATGTATATGTTTTAGGTAGCTTCTAAAAGCAGAAAAGAAGGTGGTCGGTAGAATTCAAGACTGAAAGTAAGTACCAACACAAGCTCAGAGCAGTTTAGTTCCAGCGAGAGATGCAAAGTTTAGCATCAAACATCGAGACGGCTAGATACGAACTACTCTGCTGCAGTTGTGAAATCTGTAGGTCCCAGATTGATCGGACAGCTGCAACAGTTCTGGTGCAAGTGGTGGTGAAGAGTGTTACCAGGATGACATGTTACTCGTTTCTCGACGAAGGAAGGCTGCAGTTCGACAATTGCAGAGGTCGTTTACAGGGAGAGCAAGACTGCCATTACTTATGAATCGGAGGTTTTTACAGTTAGAGTCGAAGAGCATCCACTTCTGACTCAGAGGTTGTGAATGACGTGCTGGTTTTAATGCAACTTATCAAGGTACATAAGAGTACTATCAAAAGCGAGAACCAGCTTTGGGAGGCTCTTCCTTTGAGTTGAATTATAGGCCACGTGTGAGATCACAGTTGTGTGCGTAGTAGGGAGTTGTTTGTTATATTTGTTTCACGTTTTTTTAATGAGTGTAGAGTGCCACACATGCTTGTTGAGATTAAGGAACTAGTATCATATCTTCCTTGAGCGTATAAATTTTGTTAGTAGCTTGGTACATAATGCATTTATGCTCCATCTAGCAT